GTGGAGGCTTAGAACTGGGGTGGAGTCCAGCTCTGCCCTCCAGGCTAGCTGTGTTCCGTGGCATTTGTTTCAGGGTTCGTTTTTGTGGGAGAATACCCACTTAAATCTTTGTGTGCACCATACGGCATCAGTACCACTGCCACTCAGGACCCAGGACCTCTCATCTTCCAAAGCTACAGCTTTGTGTCCACTGGACAGCGGCTCCTGTCCCTCCTTAGCCTCACAGCCACCATCTCAACCTCCACTTCTCTAAGTTTGACAACTTGGGATTTATTGTAGAAGTGACCCCAGGCTGTACTGGCTGTGACTGGCTGGTTTCTGTCAGCACCAGGTCTTCAGGCTTAGTCACGTCATCCAATATGGCGCCTTCCTCCTTGGTTGAAGCTGGACAATATGCCACTGGGCGCATAGTCAAGTTTTTCCCTCTCCATCCATCCATGGACGGACACGAGGTCATGTCTACATTCTGACCATGGGAATGTGCTGCAGTGAATGTGGAATGAAATCTTATCTTCGGGATCCTGATCTTCTGGATGTCTGCCCAGAAGTGGAATTGCTGAATCCTAGGGCATTTCTGGTTTTAACTTTTGAGGAACCTCCATGCTGCTTTCTATGTCGGCTGCACTATTTAACATTCCCACCAACCTGGCATGAGGATTCTGCCTTCTCCGCCTCCTGTTATCTTGGTTTGTGATTTTCCTGGTTTTGATGGCCATCCTTGGTGCGAGGTGATGGCTCATTGTGGCTTGAGTGGTTAGTGATGCAGGACACTTTTGCATGTACCTGTCAGCCATTTGTTGGCCAAATATCTATTCCAGTCCTCTGCCCACCTTTGGACGGGGTTATTTTGCTCCCAGAACAATGGCTGTTGTGGCCGTTTCTCATATCGTCTGACTATTAACCCTTTCGTGAAGATTTTCTCCCAGTCTTGACTGACTTTCATTCTGTTGATTTGTCTCCCTTGCTGTGCAGAAGCTTTCTACTTGGATTTTGTCTTGCATGTCTACTCCTGCTTTCTTCGCCTGTGCTTTTGGTTTTCTAGGAAAAAAAAATCAGCATCAAGACCAATGTCGAGCAGCTTTTCCCCATGTTTTCTTCTAGGACTTTGACAGCTTCCAGCCTTAGGTTTAGGTCTTAGGGAGGATGTCGGCTGCTCAAATGGAGCCATTGTGCTCCTGGTGTGGGGGGTGAGCAGCTGGGGTTGGGGGTCCCTCCTGCCACCTCCAGTGAACAGGACAGCTCCTCCATGCACCTCCCCGAGGGTCCCAGCACCGTTGAAGGAACGATGGCAAAAATAAACACCAAAGAAGCCTGGAGAAGCCAGGGTGGTCCTCACAGAAGAGGTGGCCTGCACTGAGGATCTCCAGAGACAAACAGGAATGTGCAGGGAGTCTCCTTAGGAGGGGGAAGAAGTCCAGGAGGACCCTGCAGAAGAAAGCCTGTGGGGCTGCCCTGCTGAGCCTGGGAACCCCGAGGATTTGGAACTGGTGAGGGAAAGGCCTGGAGCAAGTGGAAGCTGCCCTGGTCTGGGTCAGACTCCACTGCTAGGGTACAGTAGGACCCAGTATCCAGCCCCTTAGATCCAACCTAAGGTGGAGGGACGCCAGGTTTCTGGACCCACGATGCCTCCTCTGCTGGGCCCTGGCCACGGGAGAAAGTGGTAGCAAAAGCAAGTCACTGCAGGAGCCCCCAGCTGGGCAGGGCAGCAGGTCCTCTTCCCTACTGCCATCCTCCACCACCGCAGTCCTGTCCGGGTCCACAGCGCCACCTGCTGGCTGTTTGGGGAAGCCAGAAAGCCAGACAAGTGAGACACAGGCAGGGTGGGGAGGGGTGTGCCCAAGCCCCATCAAGACTGGCTGGTACCCTGGGGAGGGGGTGCCAGATGGTCCAGGGACCTCGTTCTCGCCCTGACTTGTTTGGGGGACCTGAGTTTGCACCCCTGGTTCCACAACTGACAGCTGTGTGACCTCAGCCAATTTATGCTCCTCTCTGAGGTTCATCCCAGTCCCAGCACAGTAAGCACGGCTGGCTTCTGGGTAACATGAGGAGGAAGTGGTCACTAGATGGGAAGCCTGTGTCCAGCAGAAGTTGATGGTGCTCGCTGTCCCGGAGAGGTTCACAGGGAGGCAGGCACACAGCATGACGCATCCAGGGGCAGTGACCAGGCCATCTACCAGGTTTAGATGTAGGGAGGAGTAGAGGAGAGGGACAGTGTGAGATTCTGGGTCTCAGCAGACGTCCTTTGCCGGCTTCAAGGTCAACCCAGTCCCTGGCTCCCCGAGGTAATGGTGGAGGCCGTCACCTTCGTGCAGCCTTGCCAGGGGCACCAGAGGGCACTGGCCCTCCTGCCTGATTTCATATTGCCTGGCTGTGACCTACAGGACATTTCTTACTTTAGAACATGCTTTCTTGAGGAGGTGAGGAGGCCTTACAGAAAATCTTCCTTATTATAATCCAGGTCCAAGCTGGACTAAGACATTCAGGGGCCAGGAAAACCCCAAGAGGTCCTGGGAAAGTCTGGACCAGGATCCGGGTACCCTCCATGTCCCTCCCCCTCCATTCCATCTCCAGACTGAAGGGCACAGCAGCCCCATGGGATCCCCACATCTAGCCCCAAAGCCTCACTCCTGAGGAGAGGCTGACTGCCCCATGTGCCCCATCAATCTATAAGTCAGTCTATCCACCTGACTTGTGGTGTTTGCCAATCTGTGGTATAAATGCCTCATCAGGTTGAATTTGGGTCTCTGGGAAGTCCCACAGGACACAGAGCTGGCAAGGGGAGGACAGGAGCCACCATTATGTAGCACTCCACTGACACAGGTGCACCGGACAGGAATGACCTCAACAGTGTGGACAACAATGACAGAGAGCCACTTAACGGGGAGGGGCAGGGGTACTTTATTTTCTTGTTCGTTCATTTATTCGGTGTCAGTACTGCAGCCTTGTGCTTGCTAGACAAGTACCCGCCACTTGAGCCACATCCCCAGCTCTTTTCGTTTTATTTTCAGATGCTAGGGTCTCAGCTCAAGATCCTCCTACCTCCACCTCCTAAGTGACTGGGATTATAGATATACACCACCACACAGCTTGCTTTTGAGATGGGGATCTCACTAACTTTTTGCCCAGGATGGCCTCGGTCCTTGATCCTCATATCTCTGCCTCCAAGTAGCTGGGATTACAGGTGTGAGCCACCATACGTGGCCAGGTAGGAAATATTTAGTAATATAATCTATTGAAAATTCCTGTTGGTGCGTTTAAACCAACTCTTAAAGTTTTGAAAATCTAGCAGTCACTCACAAAACCTGTTGGGCTGGGTCTGGCACCCACCCCAAACAAGATGGCCCATGTAGAGGTGCAGAGTGGCTCCCAGGAGCTGAGGGGGCATTGGAAGCTGCTGGGCTCTCCCAGATGTCTGCTCAGGCAGCTCTGCAGGCCCAGCCACCCAGTGCCCCTCCCGAGGGGCTGATGTTCACAATCCAGAGAGGTGCTGGGAGGAACGGGAGGGAGAACATGAACTCAGGTCTCCGGCAAACCAGGAAGATCGCTGCGACAGACAGAACACCACAGGACTTTACTGCTCACAGCTCCAGAGGCTGGACATCTAAGATCAAGGCGCCTCGGACTCTCTCCTGCCACGAGGGCCCTCGGGTTACAGATGGTGCCTTCCCACTGTGTCCTCGCGCAGTGGCAGAGGCAGGCTCTCTCTCCCAGGCATCCTCCATAGGCACTGATTCCAGTCTTCTGTCCTCGCACACAGTGAACCCAAGACAGAAATCATGGCAACTGCGGTGCCAGGCTTTCAGCAGAGGCAGTCACCTGAGCACAAAAAAGTCAGGACTTAGTGTCCTGGGGCCCCATGCATGGGAAGGAGGCCAGGCCAGCCCTCCCCTGCCTTTGCTTAGCCCCCCCACCCCAGCGTCCTGCATCATCTGGGTTGGATAGGCTCTGCCAGGACCCAAGCACAGAGCAGGTCACACCTGCTTTTCTCTCCACCATCTTCAGGGAACCCCGGCCTCCTGTTATGACTCTGACTGTCCCAGAGAACAGGTGGGCCTCACCACCCTGCCCACGCATGTTGTCCCTCAGTGCTTCCCATGACCTCAGCCTGGATGGCCCTGACCTGCTGGGCAGCCTGGTTCCTGTCCTTGGTGTCCAGCTTTCTGCTTTGCATCCCATACTTGGAGTGAGGGTTAGTCCAGGGAGCTGCAGGCTAAGCACCAAGGGTCCATCTCGGGACACTGGGCACCATCAGCCAGCAGTGACATTGGGTTCTCACTTTGCAGAGATGCTCCTAGGCTGGGAAGCACCTCGCTTGTCCATGATGCCCTCCCTTGCCTGCCAGGCACTGAGCCAGAGCCCCCCAATCTTCCCACTGACCCTCAAAGCAGCTTGGGAGCTGGAGGCTATGCTCCCATTTTACAGATGGGAAGACTGAGGAAGTTGGCGCCAGGCTGCAGGGGCAGAAGAGGGTGGGCTGCGTGTGACTCAGGGTGGCTGCCCCACTCCAGCTCCACTCTGAGCTCAGGCTGTCCTGCTCTAGTTCATGTAGCTTAGAGGACTCCAGGGGCATGGAGCAGCACCTGGGGAGAGCCTCGCACCTCATGTGTTCAGACTGGGCCCTGAAGCCAGGCTCTGGTCCTGCCATCAGCACAGGGACATGGGTCCATCCAACAGGTGGCCAAGATGAATCCATGATCTCACAGAGGACAGCCAAGGTCCACAGAAGGAAGCATAGGCCCAAGACCTCACTGGGGACACATGCCCATGGTGTGTGTCTGTGGACACAAGCACACCTGTACATGCCGTCCCCAGAGCTGTGCCGTCTCTACGACACTGTCCCTGAGAAGGGTGCTGTGGACACTGGAGCCATTGTGACCTCAGGGTGAGGTCAGGGTCAGCCAGGGCAGAGGAGGGACAATGCCCAGAGACAGGGTTGGCCCGCTGGGTATGAGCACAGAGCTGACACTGGGTTCTGTGAGTCCTCCACTCCACGCCCCATCATGGAGGGGCAGCATTCGGAAAGGCCACACAGCCGCACCTCATCCGACAGGACCTCATCGGCCATGTCCCACAACCCCAGGTCAGCTCCGCCCTGGGGACATGAAGGAGCGCAGCCTCCCCATCCCACTGACAGGAAAACTCTCTCTGCAGGGCAGCCAGGGCCCTGCGGGGGGCATCTGGCCCCAGCCTCTGTGCCAAGGAGCGGGGAACCAGCCTGGGAGGGATTGGGGTGGGGTGGAGACTGGACCACAGACTCTTTCCTCGTCCTGCTAGGTGACTTTGACTGCTCATGAAGGGCCAAGATGGATGGTGTGAACGTGTCAGGGAACAGTTGGACAAACAGAGACATGTGTCTGCCTGCTTTTCTGAGCTTTGGCCTTTCTTGGGCAGAATGGAGAGGGATCCACCACGTATTTTCACACAGAGTTGAGGGAACATAGGGAAGTTTCTAGGGCTTCCAGACCTGTGGTCCCCAGCAACCCAGGCAGCCACAGGGCCAGCTTGACCTTCCTCAGCATCCTTGGACCCTCCCGTCTCAGGCGGGTGTCCCCTCCACAGGCAGGTCCTGCTGCGCAGGGAGTCGCCCGCCCAGTGGGTCCAGGTGGGATTCATGGTTGTGATCCGTGTGACTCCTGTAGCCGTCTGTGCTCTCTCGTCCTGGTCCCACATTGCTGTCATTGTCATGGGGCCAGGCTGTCTTCTCAGCCACCGCTCTCCTTGCTTCTAGGCCAAGAAATGCTCCCCCCACAGATGCTTGCTCACAGAGTGTTTGGGTTGTCTTCCTATTTTTAAAACTATGTTTAGTTCTGGAGGGCACAAGGCTGTGAGGCAGGTTTGGGGCAGGCGAGGTGCCTGTGGCCCACACTGTGTCCGGGGAGGCCGGGCTCCTGGCAGGGCCCACCCGGAGTGCTGCTCCTGGAAAGCTGGCTGTCCAGGGACAGGACGGGTCTCTTCCTGGAGGCCAAGGACGAAGGCAGTGTCCAGGAGCAGAAGCGCGTACTGACTGCAGGGAGGTGGAGAGAGCAGGTTGGGGGGTTCCTGGGACTGGCCTGGGCCTGGGCCCCCAGGAGCCGGGAACTCACGGTTCCCTGTCTCTACTACCACCCCCAAGATTGTGAACCCCACGAGGAGGGGCAGTTTGAGGGTGGTTCACTGACAAGCCCCAGGCCAGCTGGGAACGGTGCCTGGCAGGCAGCAGACACAATGCCCACTCCCTGAGTGAATGGAGGCGGAAGGGGACCATTCTGTTCCATGCACTGAGGCTCAGCAGCCATCACAAAATACAGCAGGGGCAGTTCAACCGCCACCCCAACCTCTCCCAGTTCTAGAGGCAGGAAATTCTCAGGGCCCGCTCCTAGAAGGGCACTGATCCCATCCTCACAACCTCGTCTAAACCCAGCCAGCCATCCCAAGGGCCCCACCTCCAAACACACGTAGGGAGTTAAGCTTTCACCTATGGATTGGGGAGGGGACACCATTCAGTCCAGAGATGGTTAGCCACCGCGGCCTCCCCTGCTCTTCTCTGCTCCCAGGACTGTATAGATACTGTCGCCCCAGCTCATCCCAGGACACTGGGAGCTTCCCAAGGCCATGGCTCTCGGGCACGCTAACCCAAGGATGCCCAGATGAGTGCAGAGAGGAGAGGTAGGAGACACGCTCTGGACAGGGCAGCCAGCAGGGGTCATCTGGAACACACCTGGGCAGCAGGCTGCTGGGTGGAGGCTGCAGGGTTTAGCACCAGGTCTAGTGAGCGAGTGGGGCTGTCCCCGGGCTGCTTCTGCAGTCAGGAGGGGCTGTGCTGCCATCAGCGTACACTCCAGGCTCTGCTCTAGTGCCAGACACAACCAGCAAGGACATCGAGAGGCCCTGTCTCATGGCTTACACTCCAGGGGAGACAGCCAGCAAACAAGAAGCCTAATACCATCGATTACTCGAGGTTACAAGGCAAAAAGTGACACAGGAAAGTTCAGGAGTGGGGATGTGGGTGAGTGTCAGGTTGCCTTTTCAGACAAGATCACCAAGAAGATGACAACTGCGCAAAGACCTGGAGATGAGGGACTGAGCCAAGCACTATGGGAGGAAGCACGTCCCCAGACTGAAGGAGCAGCCAGTGCAGATGTCCTGAGGTTGAAGTACGCCTGGCAGGTTTAAGGAGCAGCCCCAGCTCAAGCTCACTAGACTGGGGTAGAATAAGCCAGGTGGGGATGGGGGCAATGAGAGCCGAGAGAATCATTTCACCAGTGAAAGACATTTTTAGCTATTACAAATCAAGCCACTGTTAAACAGTTGTGTAGGGACTTCTGTGTGACTATAAGTAAATGCCTGAGTCCTGAGTGTTTAACTTTGTCCAACGACTTTCCAAAGGGGCCTGGCCGACAGTGCGTGAAGTTCTGGCTCTCTGCAATCTCACCAGGATTTGGTGTTTTCAGTTTTGCTGATTGCAGCCGAGCTGGTGGGTGTGCGGTAATACTTCTCATGGTTTTAATGACTTCCATCCTGACAAATAACGCTGACCCCTTTTTCTGTGGTTTTTGCCTTCTGATCATGGACTTGGGTGGATGGCCGAAAAATCTTTTGCCTTTATTTTGTTCTGCTTATGATTTTGGTTTGGTTTGGTTTGGCTCTGAGTGTTCTCTGCATATGCTAGATAGAATCCTTTATCAGATATGCAATTTAAAATATCACCTCCAGCCAGGCACGGTGGCTCACTTCTGTAATCCCAGCTACTCAGGAAGCAGAGATCAGGAGGATCGTAGTTGAGGCCAGCCCTGGGCAAAGAGTTCAAGAGACCCCATCTCAAAAAACCCTTCACAAAGATAGGGCTGGTGGAGTGGCTCAAGTGGAAGAGCACCTGCCTAGGAAGTGTGAGGTCCTGAGTTCAAATCCCAGTACTGTCAAAAATTTAAAAATAAATAAAAATATTGCCTCCACATCTTCTCATCTTTTCATTTTCCCTGGATACCTTTTGAAAAGTGGGAGTTCTTAATTTTTATTAAATCAAGTTTGTTAGTTTTTCCTTTCTGGGAAGTGTTTTCGGTGTCACATCTAAGAAATCTTTGTGTCACTCAAGGTCATGAAGATTTTTCTCCTGTTTCCTTCTAGAGGCTTCAGACTTTGGGGTTAGCCCTATGCTCTATTTTCAGTTAATTTTGCCTGTGTTACAAAGCGTAGGCCGGGGACTGGAGCACATGGATGCACAATTGTAGCAAGATGGCTGGATTGGGTTGAATTATTGAACGCTTTGCGCCTTTTTCAAAACTCAGTGGTCTAACGTGTGGGGTTTTCAGGACAGCGTGCATGCTCTGCTCCCTCTACCCCCATCTCAGAGCATAAATGCCACACCATCTTGGTTACTGTAGCGCTAGAACGAGTCTTGGAATTGGTCGTAGTCTTGGAATCAGCCCCCAGTTTTTCCTTCTTCATCACAGGAAAAATACTTATTTCCATGTAAATTTTAGAAACTGTTTGTTACTACAAAAAAAAATACTTCCAGGATTTTAGTTAGAATTGCACTGAATATTTATATAAATTCAGAGAAAATTGGCATCCGAATGATATTGACCCTCCTAAGTCATGAACCCAGAATCACCACTGTCTCACCCACACCAACCTAATCCGTGAACGTGATGTGCCTCGCCATTTGCTAAACCCTTCTTGATTTCTTTCATCGATATTTTTTTTTGGTGGCGCTGGGGTTGGAACTCAGAGCATCCCGCTGGCTAGGCAGCTGCTCTACCATTTGACCCAGGCCTCCAGCCCTGGTTACCTCAGAAGCACTCTTTGCTCAGGCAGGCCTAAACCTTGACCTTCCTACTTCACACGTCTCACCATCCCTGAAATGACAGGTACCTGCCAGGCTCTCGTGTCATGTACATGACAGGTTCACCCAGGCTGACCTGGAACCATGATCCTCCTGATCTCTGCCTCTCAAGTAGCTTGGGATGACAGGTGTACCACTGCACACAGCTATTGGTAGAGATTGGGTCTTGCAAACTTTTTTGCTTAGACTGGCCTCAGACCTCGAGCCTCCCAATCTCAGCCTCCCAAGTAACTAAGATTACAGGCATGTGCCACCAGCACCCAACTCTTTCATCAATATTTTATCGTTTATAGCATACAAATCTTGCAATAGATTTCTACCTAAATATCTCATACTGTCACCCATGGTAGCCTGTTGCTGGTATATAGAAATGTGTGTGTATACTGATGAATTCTGCAAACTCTCTGAAGTTTTGGGCCTACTATCTTTTTTATAGATCTTTTTTATAGATTCCTCCAAGTTTTCTGCTTAGATAGAAAGAGCTCGTTTCTTCCTTCTCAGCCTGTCTGCCTTTTTTCTCTGCTGTGACTTTTTACATTGGCTTAGCCAACAGCACAGGGGGTGTTAGGAGTGGCAAGCACACACATCCTTCCTCACGGCTTATCAGTGGGGAGGACATTGTGTCCTTCACCACCACGTATGAGATTAGCTGTAGGGTTTGGTAGATGCCCTTTCCCAGGTTGAGGGGCTCCTTTCATTTGTTTTGTTTTGGTTTTGCAGTCCTAGGGCTTGAACTCAGGGCCTACACCTCGAGTCACTCCACCAGCCCTTTTTTGTAAGGAATTTTTCGAGATAGGATCTCATGAACTATTTGCCTGGGTTGGCTTCAAACTGAGATCGTCCTGAGTAGCTGGGATTACAGGCGTGAGCCACCAGCACCCTGCTCTTTCATTCGTTTTTGTTGTGATGAAGTATTGGATTTTGTCTGCGCCTGTTAAGATGATCACAGGATTTCCTCATTACAATCTGGTGACGTACACTGATTTTCAGAAGGCCAACCAGCCTTGCATTCCCCGGAAAAGCCCACTTGGAGGCGGTGGCCGTGTGTTTCTACGTATTTGGTTGAGAGAGTTCGTGTTGGGCTGGGTTGAAGGTCATCGCGGACACCTGCCTAGCATGTGCGTGGCCCTGGCTCAGTCCACAGCACCACGAAAAGAAAAAGAAAAGTTTGTTGATGAAGGAGAGAAGGGTACTAGGCTGCACTTTCTTTCCTTGTGGTACCGTTGTGTGGCTGGGTTTCATAGCGGTGAGTGGGGTGTGCTTCTTCCTCTCCAGCTTTTTTGGGATATCAGCGTCACTTCTTCCCCAATTCTTGCTCAAGTTAATGAGCCGGCCAGCCCCTCAGCTTTCCTTGTGGGATTGTTTTCAACTGTAAGTCAATTTTTGTAATAGACTTAGCACTGCTCTTGATATTTAGTTCTCAGGTGAGGTTTGGTTTTTGATGACATGAAGGAATTTGTCCATTTTGTTTAAGGTATAAAGTTTTTCCTGTGAATGTCTGTAGGACCTGTACTGATGTACCACTCTTGTTTTTATTTTAATAATTTGTGTCTTCTCTTTTTTTGCCTCATTATATTCTGCCAGAGGTTTATCAGAGAACTACCTTTTGGGTTCAGCAGTTTTCTTTATTTTTCTGTTTTCTGTTTTATTGATTTCTGCTAAATGTTTTACTCTTTTCTTTCCCTGGTTTAATTTGCCTTTCTTTTAATTCTAACAGGGAATCCTAGATCACCCACTTCAGGTTTTGTTCTTTTTAATTCATGTGTACAATACAATACATTTCCTTTCCAGGCATTTTGATAGGTTGTGTCTTCATTTTCATCCCATTTGAAGCACTTTTTACTTTCTCTTTTGCTTTCTTCTTGACATATGGGTTAAGAAGATGTGTTATTTAGTTTCCAGTCCTTGGGAACTTTCTACCTATCTGAAATTTAATTTCCAATTAAATTCCACGTAGTTGGGAGCCATGGCTTAGTTTATTTGAATCCTTTTTAACTTGTTGGGACTCTTTGCTTTTTGCCTGTCTTGGTAAGTGTGTCACACATATTCTCCACTGGGCAGGTTCTTTAGTGACCATTGGGTCCATTGGTACAGAGTGCTGTCCAGTCTTCCACATCCATACCAATTATCAATTCTATCGATTATTGATAAGCTGTGACGTGGATTGTCTGTTTCTCCTTTACTTCTGTCTTCTTTCCTGTATGTACTTGGGAGTTCTCACAGAGTGCACGAGCATTGATAACCACAGGATAGACGGCTCCCTTACCATTCTGAACGATTTTTTCCCTGTCATGTTATTTATCCAAAAATAAGCTTTGTTTGATGCTAGCATCCCAACTGCTCTTGCTTTACATCGACTTTAGTATGGCATATCCTTTTCCAGCCTCTTGTTGTCTGTTAGACTTCAAGCACATTTCTGTTTGTTATTGACGTTTTGTTTTGGTTTTTGAGACAAAGTCTTACTTTGTAGGCCAGGATAGCATTGAACTGGAGATCCTGCTGCCTCAGCCTTCTGAGTTCTGGGATTATAGGCGTGCACCACCATGCCTAGCAAGCATGTAGTTCTTAAAGGCAACATCGACTTGGGTCTCCAATTTAATATGGCTATTGATACAATTTGGTCTTAATCTATTTTTGTTGGATTTTATGTTTTTGATTTTGTGTTGTTTTATTTCTTAGTCGTTCCCTTAGGGTTTAGAGTGTATGAGGTCAGCTTGTCTCGGTCTACCTGCAAGTCACATCATCCTTGAGTAAAAGAACCTTAAACATTTTATTTCGGTTTCTCCCTGGCCTCCTGCTGTTGCATATTTTCTTTCTCTATTTATAAAGCCACAATACGTTCATCTACTTTGAATTTTAAAAACATTTTCAATCTACCTGCATATTTTCCAATTTCTCTGTTCCTTTGTGTGGTTCCATACGTCCACTGGTGTCTTTCTGCTTTCAAAGATTTCATCTAACACTGTTTGTAGAGCAGGTCTGTGTTTTGTGTGTATAAAAAACTTTATTTCACCTGCAGCTTTTAAACATATTTTCTCTGGGTTTAGAGTTCCAGTTTGACAGGTTGTTAGGATGTTCCCCCATTTCTGTGCATTAAAACATTGACCCATTGTCTTCTGGCTTTCGTTGTTTCTAACAAGAATGTGCCTCCCCACACACACACCTTAGGCTTTTTTTTTTTTTTTTTTTTTTTTTTTTTAGATTTTCTCTTATCGTAGGTTTTAGGCAATTTTACTTTGATACAATTTTGGGTCATTTTCCTCGTGTTTCTTTTGCTTGGAATTCATTGAGTTATCCGGATGTGTGGATTTTTGGCTTTCATCTTATTTGGAAAATGTTCAGATATAATGTCTGTCCTGGTCCCTCCTCCTGTGGGGACTCACACACTCAATGCTGTTTGACGTCCCTCAGCTCACTGAAGCTCTGTCCCCTGTTTTCTATTTGCATTTCATTTGTGGATGGTTTCTATCGCTCTTTGAGTTTATCAATCTTTTCCTGCACAGCGTCCAGCCTGCTGTTGAAGCCATCCATGGTGGTGTGAATGTGAGGTGAGGCTTTCAGCTGATTTATCTTTTCAGTGGCTCTCCTCAGCGTATTTCTGTTTTACTCCACCACTGGAACACAAAGAATGTGGTTCCACTATCCAACGTCCTCGTCTACTATGGCTGTCATTTCTATGTTGGTTTTGAACTGCTGATTCTTCTCCTTATTACAGGTCACATTTTCTTTCTTTGTTGCATGTCCAGTAAGTTTTATGTAGACGACAGACATTGTGAGTTTTACTTTCTAGGCCTTGTATATTCCTGTACTCTTTAAATAATCTTGAGTGTTGTTCTGGCACATAGATTATTGGAAACAGTTTGGTCCTGTTGAGGCTTGATTTAGAGCTTTGATAGGGAGGGTGAGACCATCCTTGTTTGGGGCTGATGTTCCCCTACTGACGTAATGCCCTTTAGAGGACACTACTTAATGCCTTAAGGACTGATGGAAGAAAGGATCTATTCCTGTCCTGCCTGATCTCCAAGGATTGCCCCCAGTGCTCCTTCTGTGTGGTTCTTTTCCCACATGCACTGAGCACAGGTGAAGGGGCTAGAATACAACTCTGCCTGCAGATCTCCAGAACTCTCTCCCTCCCTGGGCATGTCTCCCCTGTTCTCTTCCCTGCAAACTTCCTTCCAGTTCCTCATCTCATGGAGGCAGTAAGTTCCCCCTCCCTGCACTGGAAACTGGAGTGACCCAGCAGCCTGCATGGCAGCACGAGGCTCACCCTGTCGGTTTCTGATCTCTCAGGGATCACTGTGCTCCACTGCTGTTGTCTGATGTTTGTCTGATAGCCATGATTTTATACATTTTTTCTAATTTTTGACTTGCTTAAGGCAGGAGGTGAACCTATTCCTGGTTGCTCCGTTGTGGCTGGAAGCATTGGTGTCATATGTTACTTTCAAGACTTTGGGTTTTCCTCTGAGTGACATGGGGACCCATGGGAGGAGTCTGAGTTACTTGACCGGATGTGCATCTCTTGTGCAGTGGGACAATTGAGTGGAGAGAACATTGAGAGATGAGCTACTTTGTACAGTGCCACATCACTTTCCCAGCAAATCTTTATTCACTGATGTGCCCCAGGTACGGCCTAGAACAGGAGGCACTCAGAAGTAAGGACTGAGCATGAGCAGCAGATGAGGTCATGATATGGGGGAGCAGAGGCCTGGAAAGAGTCCAGAGCAACCAGGCATGGGCAGCACCCCCAAAGCAAGGATGTATTCTCTAGTTGACCCTTTGTGGCAACTAAGGGATCCTTTCTTTCCCCATGTTCAGAGAGGGAAGGAGGAAGAGGAAGGGAGAGCACACCAGCTTGAAAGGCCCTTACCTTCTCCCTCACTCCTGCTCCACCCGCTGTAGCACCTCAGAAAGTCAGCAAGACCATCTGGGCAGCCGGAGTGTCCCCTGTGCTGTCCTAAAGAACCTGGCCATCCAAGTCAGCGCGAGAGCCAGAGCTGGCGATGTGGCACCCTAGCACTGTCATGTCCCACCAGTGTGTCTGTCACCACTACCTGTCAGGAAGCCAGGCCCCACCAGGCCCACAGGCTATGCTGTCAACTCAATAATGTCCTGAGGCCTCAAGTGCCTGCTCTCCTCCCAGGATTTAGCCAGGCCATTGAATGGAAGGGTGGCCATATGGAAGGACATTATCTAGCCAGGCTGTGCCACCATCCCCCATGCATGGAGTTGAACCCACACAAGTGTACAGATGCTTACACCTAGGACCCTTTTCCATTTCAGAAACTCCTCCCATGTCTCCACAACCATGAAGGATCCAGCACGCATGACGAAGGCACTTGAGGACTGTGCCCACAGGGACAGACCTGTACAACCCACCACCATCCTGCTCTGCAAGTCCAAGAGCAGCCAGGCTGCTCTGGTGCCCAAGGACCACAAGGTGTTCATGGAGGAGGCCTACAATGCGGGTGATCACCAACCCTGGGACTCAGCCAGGGAAAAGGGTGGGGATTCTCCAGGGGGGGTCAGGTTCCAACAGATCCCACCATGTCCCTCCACCCAAAGCAGTCAGAAGAGTTAGGGCTAGAGAAAGTCCCTCTCCGGGACCTTGTTGATGGCAAGGGGTATCACGGATGAAGTTTTCAGCAGAGGGATCTGCACAGCCCCCTTGGCTTACCATGCCCCAAAAATGCCCCATCTCTCAGCCCATGCCCCACTCTCCTCCTATACACTCTCAACACCTCAAAACCTCAGCTTAGGCCTGGTCCCCTCTCTCTGAAATGCTTTCTCCTTCATTCCAACACCAATGAATGTTAGATGACTAAATGGACTGTGGAAGTATCAAAGAATGAGTGGATGGAGCAATAGAGGGATAGATGAATGAATTTATGAAGAGATGGATAAGTAGATGGATGGATCAATTTCTATCTGCATAACAGTGGTGGATGGATGGGTAGCTGAATATAAAGTAGACAGGTGGGTAGATAACTTGGATTGGTGGACAAATAGACAGATATGAGTGTGTGGGTGGGTGGATGATGGATGACGAATAGATGGGCAGATGAAAAGTTATTGGTCAATGAATGGACGGAAATGTAAATAGCTGAGGAAGGAAAATACTCGTGTGTATCTCTGCTTTATCCCATCTTGAGCCCAAAAGCACCGTTTAGACAGTGAGGAAGCCCAAGACTGTCCAATGTGTCCAGTCCTCCAGCCCTCATTTTCAGTTCACTCCTTCATATTCCCAGACCTTACCTCCCCCCGCCCACGCAGCCCTGCTGCCGCAGCGTGACCTCCCTGTGGCTCACCTACACTCACACCCTTCTTGTCAACTTCAGCCATCTGCTACAAGATGCTCCGAGATGTGAGCAGCTCGGACTCCCTGCACCTGAAGTACATCATCAAGAAGATCAAGAAAATGGCTCAGGGGTCCCCCAACCTGGTGATGGAAACCATTCACGACTACTTGAAAAACAACCCAGAGGTGGGGCTTCTTGGGGCCCTGGGGGCAGGCACGGGAGCAGAGGGAAGAGCAGGTGTGCTCAAATGCTGGGTTCCACATAGAGCAGCTGCATAATTTGGGGCAAGTCTCAATCTCTTCATGTGCCAGTGAGGTGGGTGAAGAGGGGAGAAAGTGAACCAGCTTGTGCCAGCCACCCCCAGAACACTCATGAGGGCAGAGGCTACTGTCCTCCCAGGTGGGGAAACATGGAAGGGATTCATGTAGTCACAGAACAGTAAGCAACAGAAATGGGTATGCAGGTAGGTGGATACATGGATGGATAGATGGATGGATGGGTGGGTGGATGGATGGATGAATGGGTAGGTGGATGAGTGGGTGGATGGATAGATAGGTGGGTGGATGGGTGGATGGCGGTGGATGGATGGATGGATGGATGGGTGGGTAGGTGGATAGGTGGATGCGTGGGTGGGTAAATGGATGCATGGTGGATGGCGGTGGATGGATGGATGGGTTGGTGGATGGATGGATGGGTTGGTGGATGGATGGACGGGTAGGTGGATGAGTGGGTAGATGGATGGGTGGGTGGATGAGTGGGTGAATGGGTGGGTGGATGAGTGGGTGGATGGATGGGTGGGTGGGTGGATGGGTGGATGGCGGTGGATGGATGGATGGGTTGGTGGATGGATGGATGGGTTGGTGGATGGATGGACGGGTAGGTGGATGAGTGGGTGGATGGATGGGTGGATGGGTGGAATGGGTGGTGGATGGATGGGTGGATGGCGTGGATGGATGGATGGGTGGATGGATGGATGGGTTGGTGGATGGATGGACGGTAGGTGGATGAGTGTGGATGGATGGGTGGGTGGATGGTGGGATGGTGGATGGATGGTGATGGATGGGTGGGGTGGATGGTGGATGGTGGGTGGGTGGATGGATGGATGGGTGGATGGAGTGGATGGATGGATAGGTTGGTGGGTGGATGGATGGGTGGGTGGGATGGATGGTGGGTGGATGGTGGGTGGATGGTGGGTGGGTGGATGAGTGGATGTGATGGGTGGGTGGATGGAGGTGGATGGGTGGGTAGATGGATGCATGGGTGGATGGCGGTGGATGGATAGATGGGTTGGTGGATGGATGGATGGGTTGGTGGATGGATGGACGGGTAGGTGGATGAGTGGGTGAATGGGTGGGTGGATGGATGGGTAGGTGTGTGGATGGATGGGAAGGTCTGCCTAAACTTTAATGACTGAGTGAATTGAATGTATAACCTGATTTTGAAGATGAAGTTTTCTTAAATCCCATAGCAGCTCCCAGAAGTGAGGGGCACACTTTTGTTCCTCTCGGGTCTGCAGCACCTGGTGCAAGACCTGCACAATAGCGCTTTCTAACAGGTTATGGAGTGAATGGCAGTGCAGCTCCTCGTGCTCCTTCCCTCTGGCCTCCCTGTACCCCTCCCGTCAATGCTCCTGCTGCCATCTCCTGCACCATCAGACCCAGTGGTCCCAGCATCACCTCTGCTGTCCACAGATCTCCAACCGGCACAAGTTCCGGCTGTTCCAGGTCCTGGAGACCGTCATTGGAGCCAGTGACTTCCTGGAGGAGACCTGGGAGAGACACTTCTTGCAGCTAGCCTTGGAGAATATGACCAAGTCCACGGTGGGCCTCCCCTCTCCCCACACACGGATCAATCCCCCGAGGGTTTTGGAGGTGCAGGTGGCTTTCCAAGGGTCCAAATGATTGGGCTGCCAGGTCTTTGGATCTACCAGGCAATTTCTATCCATTCCTTGTGTTCTTGAAATCATCCCTGCAGGGCAATTCTGGGCTAAGGCCACGGGAATCATATGTGCAGTCAAACATCTGGCTGCAGCCCCACCCTCACCCAGGAACTCCCTTCCTGAAATGGGTTTTGGGATCCCCCATCCACCACCTTCTTCACCATGCCTGCTCAGCTGCCCACACAGCAGCCTCCGGAAGGCTCTGAGTCAGCCCTCACTCAGCCACTATCTCCCAGTTCCTGCCCAATGAGCATCTGCAGGCTTGGACCTGAATTGCCTCAGCTGCCTCCAATCTGACCAGCCATCTCCATGATGGCCTTCAGGGGCCTGGGGACAGGTTTTATACAGACCCAGTGTCCCAGGCAGCCCTATGGTGGACTTTTCAATATACCCAGGACAAGTGGTAGACAGAGAACAGTGACCATCACCAAGGCCCCACCCAGTCTAAGCCCTGGCCCTCCGCCAGCTCATTTCGCCTCTTGTTGTGTTGGGAGACACAGAAGGCTAACACCAAGGGAGAAAGGGTTAATACAGTTCCCCTGCCAGGAATGTGGGCACAGCATACCACACAGGGCCATAAGAAGCTGGTCCCTCGCAGGGGCAGGAGGCAGACAGAGGGACACTGATATGGGAAGTAATTAAGCAGAGATGTCCCCCAGGACATGGGGTGCTCAGGGCCTGTAGTTGGGGAATATAATAAATAAAATTGCGATTGAATATTCATGCATCTGCCAGGATATGCACAACTCTGACTCTTTGGCTCTTTCATCCAGCCCTGTGTTCATCAGAGGTACAGAGAGGTTGTCAGGAATAACAGGTGTCAAACAGCCAGGCAGAGACTCAAGACCTGCTTCACACGCCCTCCCAGCAGGTGTTGTGGCCCCACTGTACAAAAGGAGAGACCAGGGCTGAGAGTTGGGGGAACTTGCAGCAGTGTTAGCCCAGCTGGTACACAGCAGGTGTGACCAGCTCCCTATCCCCGCAGAAAGTCTGAGAATCCTGGGTGAGTGACAGAGGAAGATGGGAGACAAGGGTCCACCTTGTTTCTTTTCCTTTTTCTTTTGTGGTGCTGGGATTTGAACTCAGGGCCTCACACATGCTAAGCAGACACTCTGTCACTTGAGCTATTCTGCCAGTCCTCTTTTCCTTTTTAAATTCTCTTATTTACTTATTATCTCACCATTGCAAAGTATATCAGGTCCATTTAAGATGTGCAGGACAGACTGGCAGTGTGGCTCAGGCAGCAGAGTGCCTGTTTTGCAAGCACAAAGTCCTGAGTTCAAACCTCAGTCGCCTTCTCCCCCCAACCCCCAGTAAAAAGATGTGCATTTTACAGACCTATAACAATAGAGTGCTGTAGGGGGAGAAGGAGCAATGACCCAGAAGTGAGGACTGTAGGGCAGCCGTGGGGTCGAGCTCTGGCTTCAGCCTGCCTGAAGTGGACAAGACCCCCTCCTGGGACCATCCTCCAAGTAGCTGTTTTCCCAGTTGCGTTGAATTGTGGGGTTGTGTGGTTTCATCCCTCCAGTGTCCAGAGCTCTGTCCAGGGTAGCCATCCATCCAGGTTAGTGGTTGATGGAGGCTCCAAGCCCATACTGGGATGAGAGGATTTATGCCTCCAAAGAGGTAAGCCCACTGCCCTCTGCCCTCTGCCCCCAACCAGGGCAGCATTCCTCCCAGGCTCTGAGGATTTGTAGGGAAGACCCTGATCCACGGCCTGGACCACAGGGACCCCCTCCTATAGCCATGTTAGGAGGGCCTGTCTTTGGAAGCAAGTGCCATCTGAGCTCACAGGCCAGCCTTCTGGGCTCTGAGTCTCGCCTGCCTGCTCCAGAGACTGGACTGCAGAGTCCTGCTGGGGTGGGGAGGGGGCGGTGTGGAAATAGGTTAGATGCCTGTGACACAGGGCCACTCCAGACACCACGCCGCCCTTCTTCCCAGCCCCTGAACTGCCACCCCAGGTCCAGAGATTGTGGAGGGGGACTTCCGTTCTTCCCTCTGGTGAGATGGCGCAGGGCAGGAAGCAGCTGTCAGTTCCGATCCCTCACCTGTCTGCTTCCAGCTTTTGGAATATGATTGCTAGTGTCCCTTTTTGAAATGTAGTTTTTGGCAAACTTTTTTTTTTGAAAGAGTAAAATCACATTCAAGGCAACATCTTAGCAAGAAGCCCTCATAAGAGCTGGGTGCAGTGGCTCACACCTGTAATCCCAGCTAGTTGGGATGCAGAGATTGGGAGGATCACAGTTCAAGGCCATCTGAAGCAAAAACTTAGTGATGCCCCCATCTCAACAAATAAGCTGTCATGGTGATAAACGCCATCATCCCAGCTATGCCAGAGGCCATGGGTAGAAGGAGGGTGACAGTCCGAGGCTAGCCCCAGGCAAAAACTCAAGACCCTACCTGAAAAATAACTAGAGCAAAAAAGGCTGGAGGCATGGCTCAAGTGTACAGCACCCGCCTAGCAAGTACAAGGCCCTGAGTTCAAGCCCTTGTGTTGAGAGTGGTATGCTGATTTCATAGGATGATCAAACTCCATCTCAGGGAAAGCCTCGGACACCATCACCTCCAGACACCACCAAACACAAGCAGTGCCCTGCTGCTGTGCCTGCCTCCCACCCACAGCCACCTGAGCAGGAAAGGGCACAATTCCCCACTGAAGCAAGATCTGAGGGAACACCAGCCTGCTTGCTGAGAAAAGGGCGTGAAGACGCAGCCAGGCTCCAGGCCACAGGGCTCTAATCTGCCTGGAGATGCCACTTATAGGCTGGGCAGGTCCGGCCAGGGCCAGCAAGGCCAGGGATTGCTCCGCTGAGCTCTGCCCTGGAGCCCCTGCCACACCGGCTCTCCAGGCAGACAGCTCTGGGCAGGAGCATGACCTCTGGTTCACAATTCATGGTGACAAAGAATTAGTCCTTAGCTGCCCAGAGGTCAGCACAAAGACAAGTGATGTCAGCCAGAGGCTTCCTTCCAGATAGTGTCCTGAGCACAGGCCTCGGTGTGAGCCTCCAGTGGACTCAGATTTGGATAGACAAGGTGACACAGAGAATGGCTGCAGGTGGGGGCACCGGCTGAGCCAGGGCTGCAAAGTAGGGATGACAATGGTACATTCTGGGACTGTAAGAAACCATGAGCATCAGGAACCCCACACAGCGTATCTCAGGCTCCCTGGGCCTCAGTTTTCCTTCCGAAGAAATGGGTTGATAATAGCTGCCCCGCCTCTCAAACCAGACCAAACGTGTGGAAACGCCCAGCTCTGTGCAAGCCTGCGCTTACTTCCGGCTTCTCTGCCTCTCTGTCCCTGCCTGCCCCCACCCCACCCCACCCCACCCCACCCCAGGAGCTGGAGGACATGTACCAGGACGCAGCCAGTAATGTGCTAGTGGCCATCTGTCGGCACTCGTGGCAGGTGGTGGCCCAGCATCTGGAGACAGAGTTCCTGACCGGGGTCTTCCCACACCGCAGCCGACTCTATGTGATGGGTGTCCTGGCCTCTCGGGGTACTGCCATGGGAGTGGCAGGGGGCAGGTCACAGAGAGGGACCCAAGAGGCCCTGTGGGGCCCCGGCATTGGCCAGGGCCACCTGTGGGCTGTGCAGGAGGTTTGTGTGGTGGCCACAGGGTACAGTCCCAAGGCTCCACGGCCCCCCACCCCTCAGCAGGCTGGGCCACCCCCAGGACCTCCCCACAGGACAGAGTCATCAGTCCATTGTTGGCATTGGGCTTGGACAGAACCAAGACCCTGTGAGGCTGCCTCACTGGCCTGGCCCCCACATATAGTGACTGCTGCATGTGCCCCCTCCTTCGGCCACACGAGGCAGGCGCACATGAGGAGACGAGCTCAGAGAGGCAGCACGAAGGGCTAGAGTCACCCGCAGCCCTCCCGGCCTGCAGTATCCACCCCAAGCTGCCTCTACTCTCTTTTATTCACTTGTTCCCCCACTCACAAGTGTGTGCTACCCAGCTCGGGGGAGCACTGGGCTAGGACAGGGCAGATGGAGAACCCAGGGAGGGGAGTGACTGATATACCTGGAGGCCATCAGGAAGGCTTCCTGGAGGAGGAAGCCTAAGTGAGCACCATCCAGGCAGGGCCTTAGGAGAAGCCAGTCAGCAGCCAGCAAGGTCAGACAGGAGAGGAAGGAGGCTGCCTAGGCCCTGCTGGCGAGTTTGCACTCGAGCCTTGGTCACCCCTGGAATCGGCCTTTCTCTGTGGTGGAACTTCCAAAATTCCAGCCTCACAAAGCACTCCCACTCTCAAGGGGACCCCAGCACATCCCAAAGGGCCACGCTCAGAGGAGCTCTTCCACTCACCCCTGGTAGAGCCCAAGGCCCAGAGAAGGAGCACAGCCTGCTTGAGGTCACACAGCAGGCAGGCAGGGTCACAGTTCCAGCCTGGCTCTCCGAACCCTTCACCCAATGCTGGCTCTTGTTCCTCCTGATCCTCTGGAGCCAAGCAGAGGCAGGATGGTGTCACCTGACTGGCCAGGGTCTGAGGGACGGGCCAGGTAGCATCAAACCTGGCTCTGTAGCCCATCTCCGTTTCCCACAGAAGAGCTTCTCAATGAGGAAGACAGGGCACACTGGGAACACCTGCTGGCCCAGGTAGGAAGGGAACCTGGGCTTCTGGGGCCTTCTGGGGGACCCTGCTTCTGCCCTGAGAGTGGGTGGGAGAAGGAGGGAGGAGCGGGGGAGGGAAGGGGACAAAGGAGGAGCAGTGTGGGAGACCAGATCTCCAATTTACAAATGGGTAAATGACATGGGAGGGGAGGTGACTTGACCACCTGTCAGAGGTGGGATTTGAACCTTGGACTCTAGATGTCTGGCACAGAGCATGTGTCCAATGCAAATGGGCTTTTCTCATCCATCCTGGGAGCTGGATCCACAGCTGGGGGACCAGAAAGGATTCAGAGGCCAGAGCTGAGACAGGGAAGGAAGGAAGCAGGCTGAGGTGGACTGAAGCAGTGTCACATCTCTGAGCTTCACCAGAGTGAGGGGCATACGAGGCTGAGCAGGTCATAGGTTCAAGTCCAAGGTCAACCAGTCATGGCAGTGTGGACTCATCTGGTAAGTGGGGGTGAGGTCTGCTGCTCAGCGCTGGTGTGAAGCCTGCTCGGAGCTGTTCATCGCTTTCACCTTAACCATGGAGCCACAGAGCAGCAGCAGAGTGCAGGTAACTGACTGGGTGACTGACTAGCACCATGGACAGAGTCAGGACCTCTAAGACGCGCCAGCAATTAGCCAACTGGTCTGACTGACAACCTTTCAAACGCAGATAGGGCATTTGCCAGGCTGGTCATATACCAAGTTCCAGTAAATGCAGAAGGACTGAAACCAGACAGAGCACATTCTCTGACCAAAACATAACATAGAGGTCGACATTAAAATCTGTCTGGAGAAATCCCAAGTGCACAGAAATTAAACAGCATGCTTCTAAATAGCCCAGGGCCAAAGAACAAATCAGAAGGAAAATTTTAAAATCCTTTAAGTGAATGACAATGAAACACAACACCTGTGAGATACAGCTTAGAAGGAAATTTACATTTCAATGCCTTAGAAGAGGAGAAAAGTATAAAATAATTTATTAAGACTTCATCTTAAGAAGCTGCCAAAAAGAGTGGATTAAACCCAAAATAGGTGGAAGGAAGGAAATAGCAAAATCTAGGGCCCAATCAAAGAAATAAAAATGGAACAGACAATAGAGAACAAATAAAACCAAAAGTAAGTTATCAAAAAAGTCCAATAAAATGATAAGCCCTCCCTACACTGATGAAGAGAAAAATACAAAACGCCAATTTCAGAGAAGAATAAAAACATTACATATCCTTTAATATTAAAGGATGACAATGAAAGATTCCAATAAACAGTGCAAATTACCCCGAAAAACACAGATTGCCAAACTAACATGAAAAGCAAAGTGTCTTAGTCCTAGGTCTGTTAAAGAAAATGGAAACACAATTGCAAATCTTCTTGTCCCCAAGCCAGGGCCGTTTTGTCCTCTGTGTGGCGTGCTAGTCACTGAAATGACAAATTTTGCAAAAGACGGTTTACTCACAGGTGGCCTATCGTGGAGAGGAGAGCGAGAATGAAGTCCTCCTCCCTGAGGATGGGGTGAGGGGACATTTGGGGCTGAGGCTGGAGAAAGGTGACTGGGTCACTTCATTATTGCATCATGACGCACAGGTCCATGGGTTGTCTGTACTCAGCTGACAGCCAGTGAAGCCTGGGGGTCTGTTCAGGAACTAAGAACGGATTTCTTCAGGCTTTCCCTCAGCTTCTTTTCCCAAAGAAAACTCGCAGCCCAGAGGCCTCACTGCTGATTCCATCAACTTGTGAAGGAAGAAATAATACTAGCACACAAATTCTCTCAAGAAAACAGGAAGAAGCAGTACATCCCAGGTCATTTTGTGAGGCCAGCACACAGATACCAAAAGCAAAGACACTGTAAGAAAAGAGAACTACAGACCAACCTCTTTCAAGTAGACGCAAAAACCTTCAACAAAATACTAACAAACTGAAAAAAGGCACCACCATCAAGCAGGGTTTATCTGAGGATGCAAGGTCAGTTTAACATTTGAAAAGCAATAAATGTAACTCAACTCATTCACAGATTAAAGCAGAAAAGTAATGGTCATATGCATAGAAAATGATAAAGAGAAATATTGAATTTGATAAAATATAATACTTATCCATGTTCAAATGTTCTCAACAAACCAGGGGGTAGGAAGAAATGGACCCAGTCTGACAAAGCAAATCTAAACCTAAGATATCACACTGACTAATAACAGACCCACTTTCCCACTAAGTCAGGAATAAGGCAAAGACACCCAGTCTCCACTTCCTGGCAGCACTGCACTGAAGTTGCTGGCCAATGCAATAGGGGAAGAAAAAGAAGAAAAAATACATACTGCACCTGAGAAAGTAAAACTGCCTTGTACACATAGGAACCTAAAAATACAAAGGCTAGAACTGATCGCTCCTAACAGATGAATTTAACAACATCTTAGGACACAGACCAACACACAAAAATCATTTGAATTTCTGTTCAATTGGAAAACGAAATGTTTAAATGACATCCAAAAGACTCGGAGATAAATGTAACAAAATAAGTCCAAGATCTTGACAAAGGATTGCAAAGAGAATTTTGTTGTTGTCGTGGCAGTTCCCTGGTTTGAATTCAGAGCCTCAAGCTCGCTCGGCAGGTGCTCTACCACTTAAGCCATTCCCACTCCCCCAGCCCTTTTTGCTTTATTTTTCAGGCAGGGTCTCATGCTTTTTGCCCAAATGGTCTGGACTTTTATCCTCCACTTGACACTTTCCTATAACTGGGATGACAAGCACAAACCACCGCACCCAGCTTTTTTGTTCAGATGGAGTCTTGCTAACTTTTTGCCTGGGCTGGTTTTGAACCATGAGCCTCCCAATCTCCACCTCCCAAGTAGCTGGGATTACAGGTGTGAGCCACCATACTGCAAGGGCAATGGCTCCATGGTGCACTCCCTCTGGAAAATTGACGTTTTATCCTAAAGGTAAGCATGTGCCTTATTAATTCTGTTTCTAGGAATTGTACCCAAGAGCTGTGGAACACAGTCACTCCTACAAGAAGTAGCCTGAAGCTACTGTAGCCTCAAGCTAAAAACAACTGGGGCAGGTAGAGACCTGAATCTCACAACCTAGGCATCCATCTTGGGAAACCAGAGAAAACCAAACCAAGCAGAAGGAGCGAAATACTAAAACTTAGCACAGGAGGAGTGAACTCCTGATGCAAGCAGGATCTCAAAAATATTGTGCTGAGAGAAAAAATACAAGACAGACCAAAGCACACGCTGTGGAATTCTAAGAATACACAATTCCAAAAGAGGCAAAACTGATCTATACGAATGAATCGGGCGGAGGTTAAGTAGGAAGGTGCGTGAGGGAGCTCTCTGGATGGTGGCAAATGCCTTGTATCTTGATGGCCTGGAAATTACATGGTTCTCAAATCCATTTAGCTAGGCACTAAAGATTCCTACATTTCACTGTAGATTAAGTATGCCTCACTTTTTTAATATTAACATTAATTGCAAAATTTGGGACAGGCATGCTTCAAAATTCAGAATATTTCAATTTTTTTAAAGTAAAATAGTGCCCACTCTGTATCCCGTGGTCACCCTGAGCAGATGCAGAATCCAATGTGTTCCTATCTCTCCTACAGTAACATATGAGCACCCGCACTAAGCCCCAGCCCCAGATACGCCGTGTTGATTTGGGCTTTTACCACCCAGAAATCTGACTGCAGAGCTATGGGAAGAAATAGCTAATTTTCTAAGTTTTGGAATTCACATTGCAGACAAGGGGCACTGTTTGAGGGACGGGAGCCCCTGCTTCTTCTGGAGAACCTGGGGTCTTCCCAGTTCTCAAAGTCCTATGGGGATTCTGCAGACACCTGTCCTGCAGGTGAGGGCGCCACCCAGGGCCTGCTGCACCCCAGGGTCCAGCAAGTGGACCAGGACTGGGGCACACCCTGGGTAGACAAGCTCCTCCAGGGAGGGCACGAACAGTCCCACCTGCAGGGGGTGCTCTAAACCTGTCTTCTGCCTAACAATGCATTCATTCCTCAGGCTCAGTCTTGCAAATTTAGTATTTCTTTAGGGTAATTTCCTAAAATTTGAGTTGTTTGGGGAAATGTAACTGGAGACTTTAAATGCTATTGCTCAAACCTCCAAAAAAAAAAACAGATCCAATCGCGATCCCACCAAAGAACAGTTCCTTGCTGTTAGAGCCCTGCTGTTCTGAGAGCTGCAGAGTCAGGCAATGCCGTATTGTACAAACACCACAGGACACTTACACACACACACACCTAGACGTCCAGGCCTATGGCTGGACATGGCCTCTTGATGCAGTCAGGACACAGTCAGAACAAGATATACGAGGCTGCTGCCAGCTGACATGGCAGACTGCCTGCAGTGCACTGCTTTTATAAGTAGTACACGCTAAATTAGTGAAATGCATGGTAAATGCACGAACTGTAACAGCCATTCACCATTGTGCTTCCTCCGGTGTTGCCACAAACAGCTACGACATCACGGGCAGTCAGAATTCCCAGCTCCGTGATGACATCATGGTCTGTGTATTCAGTGTTTTACTTTCTTGCAAATGTCAGCCCAAGTGACAAACGCACTTTCAAAGCTCTGTTCCTTAAATATGAACAAAGTTGAGCCCATACCATGGTATCTTCATGGTGTGTGTCCCTTTGTCATTTTAAATGGATCGTTTGCCTTTTTCTTATTGGTTTAAAAGTGTTATTTTTTGCTGTCACCCTTGGCTATAGGTGACAGCAAAACAAAACTGCTGCATCTTTCAACTTGATTTTTGGTGGTTTTGCTTAACAAACTTAAGTGTTTAACATCATGTATGTCAATATTTTCTTTTAATATTTTGGGGTTTCTAATCACACTTAGAAGGGGTATCCCCCACACCAGAAGAATCTTAGGAAGGAAAACCTTGGATTTGTTGAGTCATAGAATCTGGGAATATTGGAAATGAAAGAATTTTGTAGTCGTCGGCACAAAATCCTCTTCAGATCAGAACTTTCAGAAGCCTGTATTTGAGAGGATGAATCATTCATTTTACCTCATTCATTGAATTAAAAACATGAACGGAGCCCAGACCACGTTCAGGGCACTATGCCAAGTGCTGGGGATACAGTGCAATAGAAACAGATCACGTCCTGCCTCCTATATTCACCTCCAGCTAACACGGAGCATCTGTCATGTCTGAGACCCTGGCCGGGGCCAGGTCAGGGCTCTACCTGCAACCTCCTTTGCTCACCCTGAGTACATCTGGGGATACACCATCACTGAGTGCCATCAAACAAGAGAGCTGGGCCCTAGGGACTCAGAGGAAGGAGGGACAAGAGGGCGACGGGGTGGGAACTGGGGGGACGGGTGGCAGTGGAGACCCCAGCTCTTGGGGTGGAGATATTGGCCCAGCTCTGCCTGCCTCCTCTCTGCCAACAGATGGCCGTCAAGTCGGTGCAGTTCTTGAACACAGACGTATGGTCCAAGGAACTGCTGTGGACCCTCACTAAACCCAGCCGAACCCAGCAGGAGCAGCCCCTAGAGAAGGTAAGCGCCCCAGATAACCCCTGTGGTCCACCGTGCAGGCCCAGGGCCTCTGTCTGCAGGGCACACAGGGCCCTAGAAAGAAACTGGTGGATCTGAAAAAAGCAGGACTGGGCCTAGGCAGCAGGCCTCCCAAGCAGGGGCTTAGCAGGGCCCAGAGCTGGGTGGGAGGACACTGCAGAGGTCATCGAGCTGGGGGTCATGGCTCAGAGGAGGTGGCGTGACAGGCAAGGAGGGCCCAGCTCAGGACAGGACCCCGAGCCCTCCCCCAGGCCTTCCTGTTCACCTACTACGGACTGATCCTGCAAGCAGAGGAGAACAGCACCACGGTCAGGACACACCTGTGCGGCCTCCTGCAAACCTCCCACCAGTGGCCCAAGCAGAGGGAGGTGAGGACCCAGTCCCACTCTGTCCCTACCTTTGCCTGACCTCAACCAAGGGTTGAGCCTGGTTCTAGTTTCACAGTGAACCCTGATCCTAGTCACAGACTGACATCCTGACCCTGACACTTATCACATGCTGAATCCTGACCCTTGTCACAGCCTGGGCCATGGCTCTGGTCACAATCTGAGCCTGACTGTGATCACACACTAAGCCCTGAGTCCTGATCTTAGCTTGACCCTTGACCCAGTCACAGAGAGCCCTGATCTCACCCACAGCTGGCAGCTTGCATTCTCTTACACACACACACACACACACACACACACACACACACACACACCACTTTTCATTCCTACCTGGCCTAGGTCTGCTCAGAGCCAAAATGAGGACTAGCTAGACTCCAGGGCTCCCCTCTACCTCCTGCCTCCCCTCATTCCACCACCAGACCCCATAAGTGACACCCCCACAGGGTTGGACTGTGTTTCATGGAGGCAAGTGGATGCCTGGTGATCATACATGAGTTCCACCCCCTACTGGTAGGCCAGGTGAAGGGCCATGCACAGACCTGTAATTCTGGGGTCCCCTTCTATGCCATGCTTCCTCCCTCAGGGCATTGCCCTCACTGTGGGGCTGGCTGCAGCCCGCCACTTGGATGACGTCTGGGCTGTCCTGGACCAGTTTGGCCGGAGCACACCCATCAAGTGGAGCCTCCACAGCTCCTCTCCAAAGGTAACAACTCGGGGTTCTCGGCAAGGGTCTGGGACACTGGACCCCACGCTCCATGAAGGCCAGAGCCTCCAAACTGGGACTCCCCGGGAGGTCAGGAGCATGGATGTTGAGCCATGGATTCTGACTCTAATCCTACCTGTACCCTTTCCCAGTGTGACCCCTCCTTTCTGTGCCTCAGTTTCCTGCCTCTGGTCTGTTGGGAATTGAAATGAGTTCCAGTCATAATAGCCTGGCACACAGCAGCTGCTCAAGCAACTGCCGTCAGTTGTAGGTTGGCCCTGGGCCAGTGACTCATTTGAAATTGGACAATGGGCAGCCACTCATGTGCCCCTGTCCCTGCCTCACTGCATCTCCTGCTGGAGGACGTGGTGCCTGAGGCTGCTCCATGAGGAGCCCTCTGGACACAGGAGGGGAAGAAGCCTCCCACTGACCTTCAGGGTCTGCTCATGGTTAATGCTACAACCCAGCAAAGGCCAGTGACTTCCCAAGGGTCCCTCAGCTGGCAAATGGCAGAGTAGGGCGGAAGTCTAAGTCTTAGACACTCACAGGGCACCTGGTCACTAAGTGACGTCACCATAACAGTCCTTCATAATATCTGGGCAGAGCCTGCCCCACACTCTGGGGTCTCACCTGAACAGCGACCTCTGTGTGCCCCATTACTGTCTCTCTGTGTGGAGGTGCAACCCTCCCTCGACCTTCACGAGTGAGGGGCCTAGACTGTTCTGGTTCCAGCAGAGCCAAGCACCCTACCTGTAGCCCTGGATGGCCCTCCCTGGCCTGTCCCAATCGTCCCCCAAAGAGCTAATTCCTTTTGCCCTGTTTTCCTGAGGTGCACTGAGGCCACCACCCTCAGGATGCCCTGCCTCCCCAGCATGGTAGGGCCTGGGGCGCCTCTTCTCACTAATCCCCAAGAGGAGGAGTGTGGCAGAGCCTGACAGTCATATCCCCACCCCCCACCACGGCCAGAACTCTGAGGACCCGCGTTGGAAATGGGCCAGCAGCACCCTTCTCCTTGCCTACGGTCAGATGGCAGCCAAGGCGAAGATCTACGTCCTGCCCTGGGTGGATAACATCCTGGCAAGGATGATTTTCTACTTCCGCTACAGCTCCTGGGTACGGGGGCTGCACTCCAGATGGGCTCAGGACGCCAGCCCAGCCCCTGCCAGAGCCGCAGTCAGAGATCCAAGCCAATCCTGTGCCTGCAGGTCCCCCCCACTGCCCACCCTCCCGACCACACAGACCAGGCAGGGCTTCTTGTCGATGGTCCCAGCCCCGCTTCCTCATCCTCTGAGAGTCCTCTGAGCTTTCGTGAGCACCCCACCCCCATTTCTAACAAAGCAAACCCTGATTTTCTACTGGCAGGAGGTGGGGGTTTGCTGAGAGGCCAAGGTGATGTTCTCTATCTTCTGCACTAGGCCTCCAACCCAGGTCACTGTGAGGGGCTGGCAGCCACTCCTCCCTGTCACAGCTGTGGCTACAATGCCCACAGGCTTTCACGGTTACCTCCTTGTTTAACTGTGCTCACCTAACTCACATTTGTTAAAACCTCATGCACACTCCTAAAAAAAAATCCCCACAGGACTCCCAGCGGGTCTCTGCCACACACCTTTCAGCCATGGCCCCTCCAGACCATGGCCTTGATTTTTGCTCTCTTCCACATACTCTTGGCTCTCAGCCTGACCTGTCCCCTTGTCCTGCGGTCTGACCCATGCAGGACGAGACTCTGAAGCAGAGCTTCCTTACTGCAGTCCTCATGCTGGTGGGAGCCATCAGCCGGAGTGAGGGCGCCCACAGCTACGAGTTCTCCCAGACCAGCGAGCTCCTTGAGTCTCTGATGGTGCGTGCCAGGTCCCCTCCCTTGGACCAGCAGCCTTCCCAGGCAGAGGAGACCCCCCTCCCTCAGACCTGCAGCCATCCGGAGCCCCCAGCTGGGGAAGAATGGGAGGTGGATTTCTAGGGCACATTGAGGCCCCTCGCAGACTTTCATGCCTGGAAACACTCCATGTCCCCAGGCTACCTGGTTCTTCAGGAACCCAGAAGTGACCAAGTACATGTACATTGTAAAGGGCTGGTATCATCCATTCTGCACATGCTGACCTGGTTTGGGTCCCAGACCATCACTAGGGATTTTGGCTTCATGGATCCCCTACCCCCAACCCAGGGCAGTGAGGAAACACACAACAAACTGGGCGATGATATCAGGAGCAAGAACCACAGCGCGAATGAGGACAGCTCAGGTCCTGATCCCTGCTGGGCCCAGACTCCGAGCCTTGCCTTGCTTCCTATATAACCTTGTGCAACAAGGTGGTGATATTTATGTGAATAAAAGACACTCAGAGCAGCCTGAGCTCATGTGGCTGGCACGTGGTGACCAGTGTCCAGACCTGACCTGACTCCAGAGGCCATGCTCCAGTTCCCTAAGCAGGGCCCAGGACACACAGGTCCCCTCTGAGTAGGCAAGGGGACAGAGCATAATTCTGTGGGTCACAGGGGTACCAGGCACTGAGGTCTTGAGGCAGAGAGGAGACCTGGTGTCACAAGTGGGACAGGCCAGGCCTAAGCCGCTCAGCCTTCCTCTGGGGGTTTGCAGGTCTTGTTGGAAAAGGAGCCCCAGGAGTCACTGTGCTCGACCAGCCGCCAGCAGACCTTCCGCATCATCTCCAGCCTCTGGTGTGCCCCCCAGCCCCACAGGACCTTCCCCAGCACCAAGCAGCAGCTCTCTGCTCAGGGGCTGGCCAGACAGTGAGGTGGAGGGTGGTCAGAAGACAAGGCCTGGCTGGACAAGGTGGAGGCCGCATGGGTGGGGGATGGGCAGCCACTCCCAAATGGTCAAGGTAGAGCAGCTGCTCATGGTGAGTCCCTGCCTGGGCAGGACCTAGATGGATGGAAATACAAAGGGAAGCTGTGTCTAGACCCCAGCCGTCCACCAGGGACAGTGAGGCTGCAGTCCAAAGCCCACAGCCAAGGAGGCAGGTCCCAGTTCAGCTACCTGCCACCGATGGGTGAGGGTGTGCCTGGCCACCTTGCCTGGCCAGGTGAGGCTGCCTGGAAAGTGAAGGCCAGGACAGTTCAGAGCTGCCCATGCTTGTGCTGCAGAGGGGGCAGGCAGGTGGCAGATGGGTCTGGGGGTGTCCACTCAGGCTGTTTTCAAACCCTACCACCACCCACCCACACAGCTGGAGGACATCTGCTATACACCAGGCACCATCTGGGCTTTGGGGCCCAGCTTTGAGACAGCATAGAATATCTCCCCGTTCTCTGAGAGAGGACCCCGGGGAGGGGACAGCCTGTGCTCAGGACAGAGCTGAAGGAGGCTGTGACAGGCAGAGACACCCTCTCAACAGGGTTGAGAGCTGCATGAGACCCTATACGGGGTCAGCAAAGTTGAATGGCTGCTGACTGAATATTGACCAAATGAGCACCCCCATGAGCCCAGAGCTCATCTTGACTGAGGAGACAGCATGTGCAAAGGGCTGCTACCCAACTGGATTGCCAAAGGACCAGCACAGGGACCAGGGAGGCGCACTTGTGCACCAATCTGTGACAGGCAGAAAGTTGTTAGGTCTGCGCCGTCAGAGGCAGACACCAGGGGTGCCTGAGTCCCTGGGCCTCCACTTCTGGGGGCTTCCTTATGGACCTTCCCAGTCCCCAGCCCTCAGGCTCATACCCTCTGCCTTCCCAACAGCAAGCTAAGGCCCCCCATAGACATGGACAGGAAATCCCGACTGCTGTCCACCTGCCTCCGAAGTGTGTTTGCCCTGCCACAGCTGGACACCCTGGAGAAACACACCTGCCTCTTCCTGGAGCCACCCAACATACAGGTGTGGTCCCCATGCTGCACCCTGAGCCCAGTGGGAGGGGGAGGGGGGCTCTTGGGTAGGGCATCGGGCTCTGTCTGCTTGGCCAGGGGATGAGCTGAGTAAGAAGGTCCCTGGCCACCTCACAAGCGAGGGTAGGGATCCTGGACAGTTTCCTGATGGCACTGGACCTGTTTGCCCATCTGGAAAACCGGGGTGGTGATAACAGAGCAGGTGGTACCTAACTCAGGTAGCTGAAATGAGACCTGGGATGTGTGCGTCCAGTGCAGGGGTCCTGAGAGCCAGACAGAGGAGGCTAGCAACCCTGGCGCTGACCCCTGCAGGGCCTTGGATGACAAGCTACATGGCAGTGTCAGCATTATGCTTTTGAGCCCCACAGCAGCCAAGCGATGCACGGAGGAACGGAGATGGCTCTCTGTAAGGGATGAGCTCCTTAGCTTTGCAGGAGCCCAAGAGTCTCAGCTCAGCCACAAAGTCCTGTGACACCTAGAGTCACCTTCCCTGCAGGGTGGCTCAGTCTCACCACAGCTCCGCCCAGTCTCACTCCTTCCTGGAGGGAGATGCCTGCAGTGGCTCATGGCTACCACCAGGGGGCACACATGGCTGCCTGGCACAGTCACAGAGCTGTCAGGGCAAAGGGCAGAGCGACAGGTGTCAAATGACAGGTTCCAGGCCCTCTGCAGATGTTTTCCCACCTTCCTGGCAGAGACCAGAAGGTGGCAAGTGAGGAATCCAGCTCAGAGGAATGAAACCGGCCACAGGAAAGCCAGGTTGGAAACCCCTCCTTCCAGAGCCAGCTGCATCATTTGTGGAGCCCAGAGCAAAGTGAAAAAGCCAGACCCTTATTAAAAACTTACCAAGAATTTCAAGATGGCAAGTGCAGAGCATTACAGCCAGCACAGGGCCCTTTTGTGCCTGGGGGCCCTGTGGACAGCCCAGGTCACCTGCCCATGAGGCCTGCCCCGTTGGAAAAATGAATCCACCTGGGCCATGAGAAACCTGGGCCCAGGTGGGTGGCTTCCAGACAGCAGCCTCCCTGCCACCTCCATGTCTGCCAAGTGCAGACTGTGGCGGGGGCCCCTCATGGGCACAGTGGTGGGCTCTGGTGGTGAGGAGTCTGGCCAGGATGTGCAGGAAATGGGCCTCACTGGGACGCTGCAGCAGACATGGGCTCTTACCCCCACTCCCCAGAGCATGGCTGACCCCCCGACCCTCTGTACAGACCCTGCACCGCCAGACCATGGAGGCACTGGACCACATGCTGCAGACCTTCCTCACGCAGAACCCCACGGCTGATGAGCTGCACTCCCTGCTGTCGGTGAGGGGAGCAGGGTGCCTGGAGGCTGGGGCAGGAGGATCCTCAGCCCTGGCCTGGGAGCCCCAAGGAGGATGTCCCAGAGGAAGCAGGGCCTGGCCAGTGGCTTCCCACACCTAGTGGTTTGGGGCAGCTCTCAGAAAGGGGTTTGGGAAGAAATGACCCAAGATAACTTCCCCTGCAGCAACATTTCCATGGGTGTCACAAGCCTGCAGCTCACGCACTCACTCCAGGAGTCCTGCCTCAACAGGAACCCAGTCAGCAGGCAGGGATGATCCAGAGGTGGACACCAGGCCCAGAGCGGGGCTGGCTCTGCCCAGGTTAAAGGTCAGGGCCAGCAGGACATCACCGTGGAGCACTGAGGGAGGACTAAGGCTGTGCCTGGGCAGGAAAGGGCCCACAGGCAGAAGGCACCACAGGGGCAGAGGAGCAGCGTGAATGTGTTTTGTCAGTCACAGTGGAGGGCACTCCTCACAGAGGATGCCACAGAGGGCAAGGCAGAGTGAAGTAGGTTAGGGCGAAGGTCAAGGCAGCAGGGGAAGAGCCCTGTCAGGCTTGGGGCCTCATCAAGAAGCCAGGCTGGAGGTGAAGCAGGGTCTCCCAGCCCAGGGTGCACAGACAGAAGTTGGGAGCAAGAACAAGGATAGGAGGCTGGGCACAGTGGCATCCACCTTTAATCCCAGCTACATGGGAGGTAGATGTGGGTGATCAAGGTTCAAGGCCAGACTGGGCAAAAAAATTAGTGATAGCCCCTCTCAACAAACAAGCCAGATATGATGGCAGGCACCTATCATCCCACTATAAAGAGAGGCATAGGTAGGAGGATTGCAGACCAAGGCCAGCCTGGGCAAAACTCGAGACCCTGTCTAAAAAACAACTAAAGAAAAAAAGGAGGAGAACACGGATAAGAGGACGCACCTAGCACAATGAGGTATAGCCAGCCATCCCCGAACATGCCCCAGGGCTGTGGCTGCCATCAGTCACAGCACCTTCCCAAGCCATCCCTGGGCCACCAGTCCCTAAACAATGTGTGTCCTCATCCTTTCCAGATCGCCTGAACAGATGCTCAGGTGCAGCTTAAGACGTCCAGCAGAGCTGTCCCCTGTAACCATGCCCATTCGTGCTGGGCACAGGCAGTAGGGTTCTAGGAAGGGCATGGGGCACACAGAGTGTTAAAGGCAGAGCCTCGGAGGGTTTCAAACTGGGACGATGTGGGGAGGAAGGTGTTTGCTACATAGGTGATGGATGCTCCTCGGGACAGAAGACTGTCAAGGCTGTGTGTGATCTGGGAAGGGGACAGGGAAGGCTGAACCAGGAGCCTTGCTGAGGGATAAGCAGAGCCTGAGTCCAGGGGTGTGGCCTGTGACCTGGTCCACAGACGAGCTGGCCAGGGGTCTCTGGGGGTCTGAGCTGAGCATCCCTCCGTGACCACACACATCCCACAGCACATGTACATCTGGTTGGCGTCAGAGAAGGCACACGAGCGGCAGCGGGCTGTGCACAGCTGCGTGATCCTCCTTAAGTGCCTGAACCAGGATGGCTGCCTGGGCGTGAGTATCAGCTCCCTGGTCCCTGTGCTCTTTAGGGACCAAGAGAACTGCGGCCACCAGTACCACCCTGCGGCCAAGGGCTCCCCGGGGCCCCTGCCTCCATACCAGAGTGGGTCCCTGAGGGCTCCACCAGGGAGGAGCCAACCAGGTCCCATGGCAGTGGGCAGCTCAGGTAATGCCCCTTTTTGATACTTGAGGAAACAGGCAAAGGATCCAGGAGGTAGAGCTCTTGTCCATGCACCTTGAAGCCTAGGCCAGGTGTTTTTCCTTACCCAGCCTCAGTTTCTCACCTGTAAAATAGGTGGAAATGACTCCTCCTCAGAGAGGTGCAATGGGGACCAGATGAGGAGCAGGCTGGGAAACAGCTGGAAAACTGCAGCCCTGCACAGATCTGGGCTACACATGAAGCAACCCCCATCCCTGTGGCCTTCACCCAGTGTGGTCCCCATATCACAGTCGCTATCGTCCTGGGGTGAATGAACTTCAGCCCTCATGCAGATGAGCACTTTAGTGCCAAAATCAGCACTAACTCCTCAGGGGTGGGCACCAGTGCCACCCTGTGCCTGGCCCGACCTGGCCTTGCAAAGGTGGGAGACACAAGTGCTGGAGTCAAGTGACAGGTATCCCAGTTAGGCCGAAAATTTTACAGGAGCATCAAAAAACTCCACAATCAAGATTAATCACATTTTAGTGTGGCTAGCAGACCACCTGATTACTGTGACCACAGTGCACAGGAGGGCTGTCTATTTTATATATCAAGTGTTATTGGAACCACTGCCAGGATAAGGCAAATGAGGGTTGAACGCTATCGTGAGATTTTGACACTTTCCTTATCATGGGGTTTTTAACATTATTTCTTAATTACTATGGTTTTTGGCAACTAATCAAATTTTGCCATTCCCTAGTCCTGGCTCTAACACACGATTTGAGGGGATTCCTTATAACAGAGACCATGCTGGACGGGACTCTGTGGGTAGGTCCGCCATCAGTGGTCCCCTGTACTCTCGTCTTACTCAAAGGAGGACTTCAAACGGATGGGGCAGCTGGTGGGCGTGCTGGGGATTCTATGTCAGGACCCAGACAGCGCCACCCAGCACTCCAGCCTGGAAGGGGTAGGCCATCTCTACCAGCTCCTGACAAACCAGAAAGGTGAGCACCCACAGCCGCCATGGCTACCTCAACCTCAGGCTTGGGTGGAACTGCACCAGCACCCCTGAACTCACCCTTCCCCAAATCCACCCCACACCCAACCCTGATCTCAGCCATAACCCAACAATGGCCTCACCCTGGTCCCCACGCCCACTAGACCCCTGTCCTCAACTTGGACCCAAGCCTGGCCCTACTAGTAATGACCCCATCCTAACTCTGGCCCTATCCCACCCAAACCCCTGGCCACCCTTGCCCTGCCCTTGCCCTGCCCTCACCCTGCCCTGTCCTGGCAAGCAGAGGACATTTCACTGGTGGAATGGCAAACCTCCAAGGAACTCCCCCGGCCCAGCTCAGATGCAGCCTCACTTTGGAGCAGCGGAGATCCCCCCACCCCCCAGGAGACGGCGTCCCTAAAGGACCGCTTCTTTCAACTGGGCAGCTCTCAAGCCATCAAGGTCAAAGCCTGTTAGGGTCTGGACAGGTCAAGCGGGGGCAGGCCAGAGCAGACCCTAGCACCTTGGAGTGGGGTAAACTCACTCAGTGGGTAAACGCCCTTAGGGGTTGCCATTTAGGGGCAGCCAGCACACATTAGACACCTACCATATGCCAGCAGCTTCTCAGCATGACACACCCCTTTCTCAAATTTTACCAAGCTTCCCGGACTGTTGGAATTTTCCCCATCCCTGCTCATGCCAGGATTTGAACTGTGTTATCCTTAAAGACCCTCAAGCCAGGGGGGCAGCCAGTGACCGGGGTACTGGCATTGACCTTCTGGAGTCATGTTCACAGAACCTTAAGTATGTATTCAGGAAGTCTGTGAACTGGTGACTTTTGCTTGCCCATATGGCATTGAACCCTGGCTAACAAAGACCCCTGTAACTGGCGTGCTTGTCAGTGTCTGTTGGACCCTGAACCCTCCAGGCCAAAGGTGGGATCTCACTAGGGTGCAGTGCAGGACCTAGAGTGGCGCTGGCCTTCAATAAACACCCATGGAGTCCACCCAAATTGAACCAGATAGTGAAGAAGTGGTGCACATGCCTGCGAGCACCCCAGCAGGACTTGGTCCAGTCTCAGTGGACTCCAGAACCTGTGTTCTTGGCTACTGCGGTGAGCTGACCAAGTGCTGAGGCCTATCAGAAGCTTAGTAAAGAAAATCTAAAACCCCGAGGGCAACAATTAATTGTCCATGCTCGGAAAATCTGGCTGCAGTTCACACCACAGAGGCCGGGGGGTAGAATCAAGGCAGGGATGGAAGGTTCTCACAGGCCACCAGTCCAGCGGGGCCAGAAGCGTAGGTGGCTAATCCACGAGAAGCATAGCATCCAGGACATGAGGACAGGCAGTTGACTCTCCCTGGACAAGAGGCAGAGATAGATGGGAGCAGGGAGAGGAGAAAGGGGAGGGTTTGCTAATCACAGGAGGCAGACTTGGGAAGGCTCAACTGGGAACAGACACTCTGATCCCAATTTGTCCCTGACACTTCATGTGGTCTCAGATATGCTGTACCTTACTCATCATCACTGTTATCATCACCATCACTATCACCTGACACCACCACCACTACCACCGCCACCTCCACCACCATCATCACCACCACGGTGATCACTGTCATCACAACTACCGCCACCACCATCGTCACCACCGTTATCGTTACCCACGACGCCATCACCACCACCATCACTAGCACCCTCATCAACGCCATGTTACCACTGTCGTTATTACCAACGCCACCCCCACGATTATCAGATCACCACTATCGCTCCATCACCGCCATCACACACACGACACACAGCACCACTGTACGCACTGCGACCCTCAACCGTCCTCGTCACCACCGTCCTCATCACCACCCCCCCCTCAACCATCACTGCCATCTCCCTCTCACGTTTTTTCACGCCCTCAATTAACGCATGATACCCCAGAGTTCTTTGCCGGTCCTGAGGTTGTCGTATTCTGGGTTCTGAGAGTCTAATCACTGCAATGATTAGTGGACGTGTCCTGTATCTGTGCTGTTCAAGGGAGCCTCTGGCTACGTGTAGCCACTGAGCACTTGAGATATGGCTAGTGCTACTGAGGCACTGAAGTGTTAATTTTATTAAATCAAATTTAGATAGATTTAAGTCTATCACAGATTTAAACCACTAGGGGTGTCTGGTGGCTACTGTGTTGAGTAGCAATGCTCCAAGTCTTTCCAGAAGATTCTGTCTGTCCAGTCACCTAACCCAGCTCCACCCTCTAGAAGGCATGAAGCAGGGATCAGATTGCATTCCTCCCAAAAGACTCTCACTCCCCCCGAGCAGCTCATAGTCAGCTTTCAGAAGTGAGAACCCACCACTGGGGTATGAGCCCTTGAGTAGAGCTGGGGCCCTGGAGAGGCCACATGAGAATGGGAGCCCTGGGTTCCAGAGTCAGCTTGGACCCACCCATACCCACCCTGCTCTGTGGCTGGAGGTGGCCCATGCACCCTTCTCGGCCTGGAGACCCTTCCCAGCTCTGACGTTCAATTTCTCTGTGATTAAAACACTTGTGAGGAGAACTGGTGCCTGCCCATGGGCAGCTCCCCCGCTCTGGGCTGAGGTAGCAGAAGAGGACATCCAAGAAGGCAGAGCAAGGGAAAGAGAAAAGGCTGCGAGGGTCCCAGAACAAACACGGGCTGGTCAAGGAAAGAAGCCCTGTGTGGTCCTGTGTGGCCTCTTGCCTTCCCTTCCTGTCCCTGGGCTGTGATTGGCGCAGAAAAACATGAAAGAAACGAGCTGAAAGTATGGGGCTCCTATAGGGACATGGAGAGCAGGTGCTCAGAGACCTGGGGAGCCTGGACAAAGTGGAGGTGGGAGACAGGTGACTGGACACAGGGCTCTGAGGTGACATCCTCTGCTGCCACAGGTGATCATGAGGCACCTTACGATGGAGGAGCTGACCGACCTCATCTGGACAGTCATCAACAGCCTAGGCTCTACCAGCCCTTTCCACGTGCAGGCAGCTGCCCAGCTGCTTCTCTCTGCCATCCAGGAGCACGGGGCCAAGCTGTTGACTGTGAGGGGTTGGGGCCCCCACCCAGGGCTGGGCTGGGACAGGCAGAGCAGAGGGCTGGGCAGCAGTCAGAATCTGGGGCCTCCTCTGGCCAAGACTGTATTCATGGCCTTAATGGGGCAGATGGGATCCCCCCTAGATGGTGACCAAGTGAATGAATGAATGAATGAGGGGTGGCCCTCATAATCTACTTGCCCTTGTGGCATTTGCAGACCTGGGGCAGGTGTGCATTGGCTGAGCACTGTTAAGTGTCCTAGTAGAGAAATGAGGTGGGGGAAGCACAGACTAGACCCTCAGAGCTCACGGCCTGATGGGCAGAGGTGGACAGAATAGCCCAGTATATGCAGAGGCAAAGGAGTGACCATAGAGTTCCTCATCAAGAGAAGACTGAGGGCTGGTGGAGTGGCTCAAGTGGTAGAGCGCCTGCCTAGCAAGCATGAGGCCCTGAGTTCAAACCCCAGTACCACCAAAAAAAGAAAGAGAAGACTGATGTCCACAGGCTGTCCAGTCTATTGACTGAGCCTAAGAGGATTCAGAACCTCTGAAGTGGAGGTGTAACATCTAAAGTAGAAAGATAGCCATTTTGGGCACACACATCAGCCATGTGTTTAGGACAAGCTGAGGAGAGGAGGACTCCGAATAGTCCAGCGATTGCTGGGCAGTCTGGGCAGAGTCTCAAGTCCTCATCCCCTCAGACTGGGACTCCCCTTCAGACCAGGTGTCCAGGACAGGGCTGGGCCACCCCATCTGGCCTCTCCTCTGCACACAGGTTGGCAGCATGGGCCAAGCCATCTACCACCACCTCTGTACCATCAGCATCCCCCAAGCCAAGAAGCGTGCCCTGCAGGCCATCACCCTGCTGGCCCGGAATCATACCCCTGAGCTGGTGGCTGCCTTCCTGGACTTCTCCATCACCCTGGACAGGTGCCCAGTCACACACTCCATCCTCCTCCAGGCTGGGGTTATGGCCTCTGCACCATCATGGCCCACGGAGAGGGAGGGAGCCTGCACACCTGCTCACTTGTGCACACAGGCACTGGAGAGGCTCTGGCCACCATTCCATTAGCATTACCTGCCCCAGCCTCGACCACCCCACTGCCTGTACAGAGGGGGTCCCAGGAGCCAGAATGCTCCTAGCAGGAACCTAGGCAACCCCTCTCCGTCCATCCATCAGCAAAAATCCCTCTGTCTCGTTCTCCTCTTCAAACATTCTCTCCTACTTGTGCTCTTCCCTGGGACACCAGAGAGAGCTGTCACCCCTGCCCCCAGGTGGGGCAGGCCTTTCTCCCACAGCCCATGGACCCCCGGGTCTGGAGGTAGGTGAGGATCCTCACTGCTGCTCATGACCCCTCCTCCCTAAAATCTCAGCTCTGAATCCCACGTCTTTAGTCTGTATTTCCTGCCATTCATGCAACACACACCTGCCTTGTCACCCCTCTCCTTGAGGACAGAGCTTCTGCTCAGGGACACCCTCTTGCCTGCTCCCCTGCTCTGAATACAAGGATCTCCCTCCCTCCCTCATCCAGACTTCTGCCTGGCCATCTCTCTCCGAGACATCTTGCCCTCCATCCTCCCCCAGCTGCCCACTCTGTGGTCCTACCCACGGCTTGATCATCACCAATCGTAAGGTTCTCCTTCCTGGAACCAGCTACCTCCCTTATTCACAGCTCACTTCCTCTGAAATCAACAAAGCTTCACCACAGTGCCTTGAGGGCCACTGCCCTGCCCACCTTCTCTCGCCCCTCACCTACCCTTACCTAACTTCTGCCTGGCGTGTGTTCTACCATCCAGCATCACACCACACATGCCCAGGTCCTTGTCCTTGGTGCCCTGGCTCCTCATGAGACTGGGAACCCAGGAGCTCAGGATAGAACTATCCCAGCTCCCAGCACTCAAGTGTTCCTCTCCAGGGAGTGCTTTCATCTCAGTGTAGAGGCACCTTTCATTTCTGTTAGCAATTCTGGTTCATTGCATTGGATTGAGAGCATATTCTGTAACAGTTCTACCTCATGGAGTTTGCTGATCTTTTAAACTACTTTTGTGGCTATCCCATGGGTCCTGACGAAGAAAGTATATTTTCTACCATTGGGATGTGGAGTTTGATATTTATCCACAAGGCTTATTTTATTGATAATGTTTTTAGGTTCTACTGAGCTACACCCCTAGCCTTCTGTCTACCTGATCAGCCTTGTACTGACTGTTAAAATCTCACAAAAGAAACATTAGATCTGGGCAGGGTGGTTCAGGTCTATAATCCCAACCCTTGAGAGGCTGAGGCAGGAGGATCATGAGTTTGAGACCAGCTAAGGTACACAGCAGGACCCTGTCACAGGAAAAGGGAAGCAAAGGGCATTGTGTTTCTCTATACTCTTCCATCTCTTGTAGTTATTTACTTCAGAAATGTGGTTACCATGTGATTTGGTGCATATATATCCACAAGTGTTGTATCTTCCTAAATTGTGACTTTAGCATTTTGAGGTGCTCTGTTTTGTGATAGTTAATGCTTCAGAGACTTTGTCTTCAGGATCACCACCCCTACTTTCTTATTCTTTTCCATTTACCCAGCATGCATTTGTTTTTCCTTTCACTAAAATCTTCCAGAAGCTCCTTGTTTTAGGTGTGCATCTTATATACACCATACAGATTGATCTTCATCTGTGACCCAGTAGACAATCTTTTTTAATAGGTGAGTTTATACATTCAGTGACATTTATCAGTGTGGTTGATACATTTGCATCATTTTGTAATTGTGTGCAGTTTGTTATATTTACCGCTCTTTTTCCTATGAGATGTGTTCTCATTTTGACTTAGGAAGGGTAGTAATTTTGTTCTAGTTGGTGCTTTTTGTGTTCCTAACCTACTTTGCTTTTTTTGTTCTATTTTTCAGTGCTGGGGATGGAGCTTAAGGCTCATGCATGCAAACTGTGCATTCCACCACTGAGCTACACTCCCAGGCTTCCTAACCTTAGTGCCCAATTTTATTATTTGTCTTTTTAGCATCTGGTTTGCTCATTTTCCTCACCTTTTCTTTCTACATAGCAGAGACTTGCTTGTTTGCTTTTTTGTTTTAATCATCTTTAAACCATCTATGTGGTTCTGTGTAGGGATCTCCTGTTAGACTCATGGAGGTATGTGGCATAATGGTGAAGGTGCCCTACAGGTATAAACAGAATAGTGTAATGTGTGCCTGAAATACTGACGGAATCATGCTATATGTAATCTTCTAATGTTCCTCGCCTGGCTTTTCCTCCCTCTGACGTCATGTTTTTCAACTCTGCTGCCACGTGGATTCCATTTCATGAACACCAGTGGTGCTCTAGAAGGCAGCTGGACGTTTGGATCATCTCCCATTAGGGACCATGATGTACACAAGCATCCATTTCCACAATGTGTACATGTAGGACAGAAACATCTGGAGGAGGAAGCTGTGCACGGACCCCACACTGATGGGTGGCACAAGGTATTTGCATCATCAGCACTTGTGCCGACTCCCACGCCTGTAGCATTTTTTTCTCTTTTGAGAATTCCTATTATTTCACATCTTCACTCAGATTTAGCATCAACATTTTTTAGCCAGTCATCAAAATCTTAGCCAATCTGTGGAACTTGTTTTCACTTCCATGATTAAGCGATGAGCTTTTCAGCTCTTTCTGGCCGTTTGAGTGTCTTCTTTGGCGATGTGCCAATGGGTGTGTCCTCCCCATTTCTCTACTCTCTTTCTAGGAATCTTTCATGCAACCTGGACACAAGTCCTGTCTTGACTTTCCCACGTGGCAGCTCTCTCTCCCTGAATGTCTTCTTTCATGAGCAAGGCACTGGCTCACATTGTTCTCACACGTTACATTATCTTCTGACACTTCTCTTGTTTACCTTTCACACTAACTCTCCAACCCACCTGTGTGTGATTTTGTGTGTGGTGTGAGGTAGGGACCCATTTTTATTCACCATCATTGACTGAAAACTCACTCTGTCCTCACCACTCCTCACAGGTCAAGCACCTGAGACTGGGGGCTGTCTGTGACTCTCTCTGCTCTAACACTGGTCCACTTGTCCATTCCCGGGGCTACACACAGAGTTCTAATTCCTGTAGCTCTGTAATGGCTCTTCTCGCCTGATACAGAGAGGCCTCTCTCTCTGTCTGTCTTAAGATGGTATTGGCTAATCTTTGCATGTCTATATAATTCTTAGGATTGGGTTACCAAGTTCCCTTCTCTTTTCCCCTTTAACTACTGTTTTTATTTGACAGAGATCAATTGTACAAAACTGGCCTAGATATAATCCTGGAGTTCACACTTTCATCATTGGCCTATGCTTGGCCAATAACTTAAAGTATTTACTTAGTTACTCTGTTACTATTAACCAAATTATTTAGTTAATCCCTCAACTATTTACCTAGATCAGTCAGGTATTTACTTACTTAGGTACTTACTTTGGTGACAGTTTTTACCATCTAGTAATGCCCTGCATGGACAGGTAGGCCCATCATCCATGTAACCTAGGATCTGGTCATGTCCTTCACGGGCAGAATGTCCACCACGGCTGGCTTCCAGCCCTGGCTCACCCCAGCTGAGGTCCATCATTCCTTTTCATATATTTTATTGTATCTGAACATATTCCTCCAAGTATTTCATTGTTTTTATAATTTCATCATGTTGACGTACCCTTTGGAGACTTTTCCTAAAGTAGCCACACCAGCTTGTTTAGTATGGCATGCATCTTCATATGCTCTCACTTTGACTAGCTCTATATTCCCTTGTTTCTGACTTATCTTCTCTAAACAGAATTTAGTTGGATTTTTATTGCCAGTTTATCTTTGTCTTCAATTGGAGCACTTATTCCATTTACAGGTAATAAGACTGGGACTATGTTTGGAATTAAATTTTCTGTCTCTCTCTTTCCAAACCAAAAATGAACCTTCAAAATCCCCAAATGAAAGTCTGCCAGAGTGGCTCAAGTGATAGAGCACCTGCCTAGCAAGCGTGAGGCTCTGAGTTCAAACCCCAATGGCACCAAAACAATAATAATAATAATAATAATAATAAAGATCCTTGAATGAAAACTTTTCCCTGTATCCATTTCCCCCATTGTTACTATAATTCCACATTATCTGTCACCTCTTGAGTCTGTATCCATTCAGAGTTGTTGCCATTTACCACTTTCTTTGCTCCTCATTCCTTTTTGAAACTCAAACTATCATCCAAGATTTTCTGTCTCCAATTGGAAGCTCATTCTTTAGGACTTTGATTATTTTGAGTCTGTCATTAGCAGATGCTCTCAGTTTTTATGGGAAGACGTCCTTGTCTCACACTCAATCTTGGAGGATGGTCTCAGTAAGCATAGGACTACAGGTTGGCAGTGGCATGGACTCCCTCGTCCACAGCTTCAGTTACCCATGGTCCGAAGTGCTCAATGGAAAATCCCAGAGGACAACAATTCATAAGTTATAAATGAGCACTGAGCAGTGTGAGGAACTCTCACGCTGTCTCACTGCCAGGACATGAGCCTCCCCTCTGTCCAGCGTGTCCATGCCGTATACACCACCTGCCCGATACTCACTTAGTGACCGGATACACTGCCGCAGTTTGCAGTGTTACAGGGCTTGAGTTCGAGTGACCCTTACCCATGACCTAAAGCTATGTCACAATGTCAACATCACTCGTGTCACTCCATCTCAGCACATGGGCCTGTACATCATCACAAGCAGAGTGAGATGAAGACAGCAGACACATATTTTATAATTGTTCTAGTTTAGTTTAGTTGTTATTGTGTATCTCTTACTATGCCTACTTTATAAATTAAACGTTATCATAGGTACGTTTGTATAGGGAAAGCATAGTCTTATGAAGTCCAGTACTATTCATGGGCTCAGGCACCCACTGAGGGTCCCGAACCGTATCCCCTAGGGACTGGGGACTTCTGTGTCTTCCTTCAGTATAATAAGGAGGCACCTCACTGGCTTCCGGCTTCCATTGATTCTGTTGATGAATCAGCTGCCCACTCTTTTGAAGGGATTGTGTGTCTTAGTCTTTGTTATACAATAGTCTCTGCTGGGTTTTTTGTTTGTTTGTTTTTCTTGTTTGATGGGGATTATTTGTTATCATTTTGTTTTTCACTAATTCTTTTTCAACCATATCTAATCTGAATTTTTAACTTTGGATTTTGGATTTTTTTTGGATTGGTTTTCTAATCTGCCCTATGGCTTATAGGTTCCTAGTCCCTGAAAACATTCCTTTTTGTGATGCTGGGGTTTGAACTCAGGGCTCTGTGCTAGGCAGGTGCCCTGCAGTTTGAGCCACACCTCCAGCAGTTTGAGCCACACCTCCAGCCCCTGATGACGTTCTTAAGCTTCTCTTTCGTTCCTTTATTCATAGTTAAATCATCTGAGTTGTCAGAATTTTATCTCTTGTTCTTGCTTTATGTCACCCGTGGATTCTTGCTTCCTTTTAGGTCTATTACTTTTGACGACATGCTAGGCATTGTTTTTATGAGAGCTTGTTTGGAGGTTCTAGCAGGGGAGCGCAGCTACTCGTACACCCTTGACCGAAGAACGGTCCTCCTCTATCGGGGATGGTCGTCCTCTTCGACCGAGCGCGCAGCTTCGGGAGGGACGCACATGGAGCGGTGAGGGAGGAAGGGGACACCCGCCTAGCCAGCCAGATCAGCCGAATCAACCCTGGCGATCAATGGGGTGACAGATGTCGCAGCCTGATCGCCCTCACATCCTAGACATTGTTTTTAAAAATACAGACAATTATTTGAGAGGTAGGGACAGGAGGGTCACAGTTCAAGGTCAGATCATGCAAAAGTCAGTGAAGCCCTGTCTCAAAAGCAAGCCAGGCATAGTGGTTCATGCCTGTAATCCCAACTGCTCAGAAGGTGAAGACAGGAGAATCACAGTCTAAGGCCACTTAGAGAGAAAGAGAGGAAGGGAGGGAGGGAGAACAGGAAGGTGGAAGGAAGGAAAAGGGAAAGGACTGGAGGAGTGGCTCAAAGAAGTAGAGTGCGGGCTTAGCAAGCACAGGGCCCTGAGTTCAAACCCCAGTACCACACACACAAAAAAAAGTTACAAGAAGATTTTGGGACCTATACCAAAGATTCTTTCTCTAGAGGGGATCTGTGTCTGCCTCTGCCAAGCCCCCAAGGACACTCAGGCTCAAGGCCACCTCAACCACTCCTGCTTGAGCTTCCCTGCTGGATTTTCCACATCCTGCCGGGCCTCCATGGGGGTGAGGAGATTTCCCCTGACACTGACAGTCCCACAGCTTCAGTCTCTGCCTCCTCATCTGTCAAAACGAAGGGTCTAAGAGTCCAGAACTGTCACGTGCCCTCAGGGCATCAGTAAGCAGCCACTCTCCCTACCTTTCGGGGTCTTTGTGCACCCACTGGCTGGGCTGGCACTCTTTGTAGTCTTGTTATCTCTGATGCTTTGAGGACCTTTATTTATGATTTCACCAGCCTTGCTAGTCATTTTCAAGGGAAGAACTGATTCGAGTAACTTGTCATAGTATGAGGGTAGCTGAGAGCCCCCCACCCGCTCCGTTGCTTTTCAAAAACAGATTAGTGAAGAAAGAATTCACAGACTGGGGTGTCGCTCAGTGGTACAGCACTTGCCTGGCATGCATGAGACTCTGGGTTCCATCCCTAGGTCCACACACACACAGATATAATTCACACGCTGCATAACTCATGCATTTAAAGTATACAGTTCAATGGTTTTGGTATATGGCACTGTTAATTCTTTAATTGTGGTAAATATGTATACCATAGAATAAGTCATTTTAACCACTCCTAAGGGTACAATTCAATGGCATTAATTATATTTACAGTGCTACACAATTGTCACCATGTCTAATTCCAAAACTTTCTCATCACTCCAAACAGGAACTCAGAAGCCACTAAACAAAAGCTCCCTGGGGACGCCCAGTAGCACATCCGCAGCCCTCAGCTCAGCTCCTGGGATCTTCCCAACTACTTCCTGTCTTCACGAGTGGCTTCATTCTCTTTCCATTAGCCATGGGTCTTCAAGGTTCTTCCTTGCTGAAGCCTGTGTTGGGACTCCACTCTATTGTACAGCAGAATAGTATTTTGTTGTACGTACATGCCACATGACACCTAGGTCATTCCCACCTCTTGGCCACTGTGAATAATCTGCCATCGACACTGGCATCCAAGCAAGTCTGGCCTCTGAGTCAGCAGGTTCCATATCCATAGAGTCATGATATTCCTCCAGAAAATACTGCATCTGTACTGAACGTGTACAGACCTTTTTCTTGTCATTATTCCCTAAACTATGCAGTTTAACATGACTTACAAAGCATCTGCCTCATATTAGACCTCATACGTAATCCAGAGGTGATTTAATGCGCACACAGCAGGGTGTGGGGGGCTGTGCACCAACACTACACCATTTTATATGAAGCACTTGAGTATACATGGAGTTTGATTACAAGAGAGGTCCTGAAACCAATCCTCCATTGATACCAAGGGACGGCCATATATGATCAAGTCCATTTGAATTTTTGGAGGTATACAGTTAGCAGCCAAGTCACAGGGCGGTGACAGTGTGTGGCAGTGCTGTGTCTCGTTCCCCAAGGGACCACTGTACATGGCTCTCCATTCCTGCCAGCCACATCTGGGGCTCCAGTTCCTCCATGACCTCGCCAGCACTTGTGACTTTCCATGTCCTGGACTGTAGCTGTCCTGATAAGTGCGAAATGGCACATAGTGGCTTCGGCTTACTTCTGCCAAGGACACATACGTCGGCAACCTTGCGTGCGCTCTTCAGCCATTCCTGTCTCTTTTTTTTTAAAGAAATGTCTGTTCGAACCCTTTGTCCATTTGTGAATTGGGTCCTTTGTATTTCTGTCATTAACTTGAGGCTCTCCTTCCTTATAGACCTGCTTGGGTCAGACTTTCTTCTCCACTGCTGCTGCCATAGGAACTGTCCTTGTCGCCAGGAACCTCACACTACTGAGGCACCTGACAGGATCTGGCAGGAGATTCTGACGCAGCCAGGCACCCTCTCCTTCAGCAAGCACTTGTCCCCTTATCTCCTAGAAGCCCACACCGTCCCTCTCCCCTCCCCTGCTTCATTCTTGTCCACAGCACCTAGCGTGAACACACCTGTGACTGCTTCCTGCATACTCCCACAAGGCCAGGGATCTTTGCTGGTTCTGCCTGCTGGGACAGCGCTCAGCACAGACGGCAGACTGAGGGACAGAAACCCCAGCTGTAGAACAGAACTGTCGCCTCCACTCTCCCCCGCTCATTTAGCATCCTCTCATTCCAGCTTCTTGAGGCATCATTAACCCCTGACTCTGCAGTTAGCAATCAGAGGCCCAGAGAGGTTAAGTGACTTGCCTAAGGTCAACAGCCAGCATGAGGCAGAACAGGAACTTGAGCCCAGACCTTTCTGAATTCAAAGGCCCCACTCTTTCTAGGGGCAGTAGCTGCACTGTGGAATTTCCCAGAGTCCTTTGAGCCATGTGCCCATCTATCATTGGCCAAGACCGGGGTGGCTTCCCCAGGGCCCTAAGGGCAGCAGCCCCCATGGGTCTGTCTTAATGTCCATTCAGCCACTGTGACCCTCCCAGCCCCTACCCCAATGGCCCTTTCCACCCAATACTCAGGCTCACAGGCCATTGAGGAAATAAAGGGCCATCATGGTCACCTATGTCTCAGAATAGCCCTGATGTCCCCTCCCACCCGCAGGCATCACAGGACCATGCTTTTAGACCAGATAGAAAGCCAGAGGCCTGTGAAGCTCCTCGTAACCAGGCAGGGCTCGGTCAGGGCAGGCCTCAGCTTCCCCTCTGCTAAGTGGGCATGGGGACGCCACACTGACTACAGAGCTCTAAGTGTGACTCGGGCACAGCTGGCCTCCACCCTTGGGTCCCTCGCAAGCACCCAGGTCCCGGACATGGACTCCAGCCAAGCTGGGCAGGGCTGACTGGCAGCATGGCCCTCACAGCCCCTCTCTGCCCACAGGCACGCCTTCTGCATGTGGAGGGCCCTGGGGGCTGAACAACCAGTGAGCCACCTGGTGCTGGCTGTCCTGCTGGCCTGGCTACAGGAGCGGCCCCTGCCTACTGGTGCCAGCGACATCAGCCCCCACCCCAAGGAGAAGACCTACCTGCGCTCACTGGCCGTGAGTCTCTGCCCCCATCCCTGAGCGCTTGCCAAGCCTGACTTCATGAGCGAGTTGGTCAGTGTGCCAGGCTGTGGGAAGGGTGGCCCACAGCCAGGCTGACCCCACAGGCCCTAGTTCTAGGCCCAGCTCCCTACTTCTTGTCCCAGGGCTCTGGCCCCTCAGCCCTGAGTCATGATGGGAGCAACCCCCCTGCAAGGCTGGTAAGGGAATTCAGTTGTCAGTGTGTGTCAGGACTGGCACTCACTTTGCAGGGCAGCCCCAGAGAGGAGGGTCCTCCCAGCAGGGTTCAGGCAGAGGGAAGGTGTGGGACTCCCCATGCTGGGCTCTGGGGAATCACAAATTCTGGGGGAATCTTAGAGGCTGCCTTCTGTAGCCCCCACCCCCCTGGAGGGACCTCCTCCAGCTTTCCCCATAAGCCCAGGCCCTTTCCTATATACCCCCTGAAGCAGGGCACCTCCTTGGCTGGACTCTGGATAGGCAGTAGCTGTGCCTAACCCCATGTGGAATTTTCTAGCAGCCCAGAGTGCACAGCTTCCCCTCCCCACCCAGTACAAAACAAGTAGCCATTCGCAGCAGAAGGGAGTCCTGCCTACCCCATACCTGGTGCTCATGGCCCTGCTGTGTGCAAACCAGACATGGTGCTGAGGATACAGGGAACACCAAGTGACGGGACCTTGCCTTCAGGGCCACCAGAGCAGAGAGTCCCTAAGATGGCCACACTGGGCAGAAGGCAGAGTCAAGGGGGTCTGGAAGGCAGCCCAGGGGTCATGGTGGTAGGTCTGCAGAGGTGTGGTAGGCAGCATCCCAAGTAGGGAGGAGGCTGGGGAGCACCCAGCTATCAAGCAGCAGATCCAGTGGCTCATGGAGAGGGCAGGGCTGAGGCTGCAAGAGTGGCAGGGACCAGCCCAGGGGGAGGGATGTCATCTGGATGCTTGGACTTGGTCCTCTAGGCATTTGAACAGGGAGGGAGAGTGCCCCTGGCCAGAGACCCCAGGTCTGGGCGTCTCTCAGCCCCCTCTGTCCCAACAGGCCATGAACACACTTCATGAATTGCAGTTTGCCCGAGAGTTCAAGATGGCCATGCGGGAGGCCTACCCCAAGCTGCTCCTGACCCTTCTCACCCAGGTGCACTATGTCCTGGAGCTGAGCCTGCCCAGTGAGTCCCAGCCCGAGCAGCGCGCCCAGGAGGCGACCACGCCCAGCCCCCAGAGGTAAGCCCAGGTCTCACAGGTGTCTGCCAGGGGCCATGCACACCCCTTGCCGGAATGCCCAGGGCAAAATCAGGTGTTCGCTTCCTGGATCATGCAGCATGGGACCACGAAACAACACAAGTGCACTGTCTCCTGTATCATCCCAGATGCCTAAATCAAGGTGTCTTCAGAGCAGCCTTCTCAGAAACCTGCAGGGGAAAATCTTCCCTTGCTTCTCAGTTTCTGGCAGCCCTAGGCAACCCATGAAGCTCTGTGAGTTGAAGCCACAGGACTCCAACCTCAACCTTCACTGTCACATGGTACTCTCTATACCTGGATCCAAATGCCCCCTTCTTATAAGGACACCTGCCATTGTTTTAGAGCCACCCTTAATGACCTTATCTTAATCTGACAGCACCTGCAAAGACCCTCTTTCCAAATGAGGTCACTTTCATGGGTTAAGACTCCAACAGGTCTTTCCTAGGGGACACCTTCATCCTCAGTAGTCATGACCCAAACCACCATCCGTGCCAGGGCAGCAGCCAGCACGCAGAGCACCACAGGCAGGTGTGGGCTATTTCCGTGTCACTCAAGGGTGGTGGCCACAGACACTCCGTTTCTGCTGCTACACAGGAGCCCCGAGGGTGCCACTATCTTCTTAACCTGCACAGGGCACCACTTCTTACCCCACACACTCCATTGGAGGATCCTGGACATCCTCCCTGCTGTGCAGGTGGACAGCGGAGGCTTTTCTGGCCACAGGGGACAACCTGACACTGGCTCACCCTGCCACAGACACCTTGGCTACTCCAGTGCATGCTGGCACATCTTGGGGCAGTGTCATGGACAGTTGTCGGCCCTGCTGTGCCTGACCAGGGTGGACAGACTCGTGTGAGAGGGACCATGCCGTCCTTGGGCTAGATATAGGGCTGGCTGCCTTGGGCTTTCCTCTGCACCCAGTCATAGTTCCTGAAACCCAATAAGCAAGTCTTTAAAGAACCACTGGAGCCCACTCTTTTCATTTGTTTGCATTGTGATATATGCTTCACATGCTCTGTCAGCTTTAACGGCTCTCCCCAAGGCATGTCACTAAAAAAAAAGTTGCTTCTCCTCATATTGCTTCTGAATTCCAATGTGCATGAAGTTCCTTTTTTATTCAGATCAGTCATGCAAAGTGCATGGCTCTTCCCCAATAAGCTAATAAAACGTTCTCCTCCCAGAGCACGGGTGGGTACAATGGCAGAAAAGCAAAGACTGCCTCTGTCCAGCCACTTCTCCCCTTCCTGATGCTCGTCCCCCAGTGCTCACTTCACAGTCTCTGCTCATCTTCTGAGTGTCCTGGCCAGCCCTCCCTGGCCATTCTCTGTAAATAGCAGCACACTCCACCTCCCGCCCCACTCTCCACATGCCACCACCATCCCACACCTGATATCTGTGCCTTCTTTCCAGAAGGCCTAGAAGGCAGAGATGTCTATCTCTCCCAGATGGAGAGCGGCAGCTCTCTGACTTGGGGCTCCCATACGCCAGGGATGCCAGTGTGTCTCTCAGACTCCTCCATATTCTAGTGATTGTCCATCGAACTCGGGGCTCCCTCATTCACCTGGGGCGTCTGTCTGTCTCTTGGGGTCTATAGGGAGCTTTTTGCTCAGGCCTGGCTGGCTGGAGCTTTCAAGACAATTCAGCCTACCCCGCTCAACCTTGGCTCTGCTTTCTCCTCTGGCCTCTCTATGGGCAGGTCCTCCCCAGCATGGGAGGTAGCACCAGAACACTATCTGAACACAGTCCACTGACTCTGGTTGGTCCCGTTGGGTCATGAGCCCACCCCTGAACAGGGGCAAACGAGGCTCTAATTGGCCAGCCTGTGCCCCACTGGAGTCTGGATGGAGCCTTGGCCTCCCTTCCCTAGAGGAAAACTATGTAACAGGATCACCCTGAAGGAGTCCAGACTCAGGACAGACCAAACAGCATCCACATAGACAGGGATGCCAGGGGACAGTCAGAATCAGTGATAAGGCTGGCGGCCACTCTACTGGCCTCAGAAAGCAGGTGGCATCACCCGGGAATATCATGGTCCAGTGTCTGACACCTGGCTGACATCAGGTTGACTGGCACTGTGGGAAGGGAAAACAAGAGAGTCTAAAGAGGACATCTTGGTACCCACTGCCGAGTAGCCCACTCTCTGTGGGTGCCCAGCAGGCAGGGGAAGCTGAGTCCTGCTCAGTAGGCTGGCGTCTGAGCCCTGGAGTGGGGCTTTGGGCAGGACATCCTTCCCCGGCAGGGCTACAACAGGGGTCAGGATCCTCCCTTGCTTCCCTGTCTCACAAAAACCCTTCTGTGATAGAGACTTTACCCCCAGTGGTTAGTCTCAGCAGGGTCCTTCCGTGTAACTGTCCATCCTGCCCACCCACCCCCCTCTTCCACTGTGAGCCGATTCTCTCCAATCCTCCTGAGGCACCTTGTGACTCTATTTCAAACTCATTCCCCATCCTCACCTTCACCTTGTCCTCTGTCTCTCTCGGCCAAGGAGGCAAAGACTTGTGGCCACTATCACAGAACAAGACAGAAAGCAGCAAGTGTTCCAAGGGAGCCTTGTGGGAACACAGGATGGAGCAGCTGCCGTGGAAGACGGCCCAGTGGCTCTTCAAAAAAATCAAATATACCATGCGACCCAACAACCTCACTTCTGAGTTTACACCCGAAGGAACTGAAAGCAGAGACTCAGGACAGGTGCTGGAAAACTCGTGCTTATAGCTGCATTGTCACAGTCCCCAAAAAGTAGCAGCAACCCAAGAGCCCATGATGTCTAAATGGATAAACAGGACATCGTCGGATCAGGTAGCAAGGCATACTCAGCCTTAAAAATGAGGGAAACCCGGCACATTGCACAACTGGGTGAAACCTGAGGACATTCTGCTGAGTGAACTAAGCCAGTCATAAAACAATGTAATGATAAGCCAGGCGAGGTGGTGCACACCTGAGATCCCAGCCCTACGAGGCTAAGGCAGGAGGATCAAGAGTTTGAAACCAGCCCTGATTATTACAAGACCCTGACTCAAGAAAGGAAAAGAATAGGATGCTGGTGGCTCACACCTATAATCTTAGCTACTTGGAAGGCTGAGATCAGGAGGATCATGGTTCAAGGCCACCCTAGGCAAAGAATTTGTGAGACCTCCATCTCCAAAATAACCAGACCAAAAATAGACTGGAGGTGTGGCTCCAGTGTAGAGCACCTGCTTTGCCAGCATGAAGCCCTGACTTCAAACCCCAGTCCCACTATAAAAAAGAAAACAGAAAAGAAGACAAACACTGTAGGATTCCACTTATATGAAGTCCCTCCATAGAGATAAAAAGTGGGGCGGGGGTGCCAGGGGCTAGGGAGGGGGACTGGGAGTTAGTGTCCAATGGGGACGCAGTTTCCATTTGGCAAGGTGGAAGAGTCCTGTAGACAGACAGTGGTGATGGGCACACAGTATTATGATGTGCTTAATGGCACTGAAATGTACACCTAAAAATTATTAGAACAATCTGCCCAGTACCACAATTAAAAATAAAAATAAGCTGGGTGTCAGTGGTTCACACCTGTAATCCCAGCTACTCAAGAGGCAGAGATCAGGAGGATCGCAGTTCAAAGACAACCCCGGCCAAATAGTTCACCAGACCCTGTCTCAAAAAAAAATCACAAATACATATATATATATATATGTATATATATATATATGTATATATATATATATATAGGACTGGTGGAGTGACTCAAGGTGAAGGCCCTGAGTTCAAGCCCCAGGACCAATAAATAGATAAATAAATACAAGAAAAGAAACCAGAAGAGGGAAGCAGGGCTGGGGAGGTGTGGCGCTGGTGTCTGGCCAGTGGCCAGCCCTCAGAGAGCACATGGCCTCACCTCCTCTTTCTGAGGAGACTTTGTCCCCTCTGGGGCCAGCGCAGGGAAGGAGAATTACTCAGGTCTGGGTGGTCATCTCTGGGATGCCAGAATGTTGAGAGGCTGGGAGATGGCATGACTTTGGGGCCTGGGCAGGAGAGGATAGTGCTCCCATGGCCGAGCCTGGCCTCCCAGGGCTTCTCCTCATATGTCTGAGGCTGTACATGGATTTCAGGCAGCATGTGCCCTTGGGCACTGCCAGGAGTCCTGGGCTGGGAAAAGTCGTAGGTCGTAGGTCATAGGTCATAGGGATCCCAGAGGTGTGTGATTCCCCACCCTTTCCCCTGAATGGGGCAGGGATTCCCAAGAATACTCAAATCCGCAGACAGCCATCTTTCTGGAAGCCCTGCTGTGGCTGCAGAGACTCAGCAACCATGAAGGACAAGCCATTGAGACAAACCCAAGGTGCCCCAGCAGCTTCCGGAACTTCAGAGTGAACAAAATAACCCCTGTCCTGCAAGTCCTCTTTCTTGACAATCATCATCTCTTAGCAGCTGAGACCAGTGGCCTGGAAAATGACACAGCTTGGGGCAAGGTGATGAGTCAGCTGGCATCTGGACTGGTACCAACAGGAACTTTCAGGATGGCATTTCGTCCTTTGACCCTTGCTTTTGTGAATCTGCTCCCAAACATTCTGACCCAGCTGATAGTCACACTCCAGAGCCAGTTCACACACCTGGGGCCATCACTCCTGGCTGCCATCATCCCTGGCAGGCGGCCAGGGATGGTGAGACCAGCCAGTGAGGGGGGCCAGAGATTTGCTACTTGTGCACAGGTACCAGGTTCCATGTTGAGGCTGCCCTGTACTTGTGACAGTGACATTGCTGTGTAGGTTTGGAATCAGGGACCTGGCTTGACTCCAATTCTGCCGCCCTTGGATCTGCTGTGTGACCTGGACACCTCTCTAGATTGCTTCGTCTTCAGTCAAAGGGCACCTGGCAGGCACCAAGCCGCTGACAAGCACACGGTTACTCCACGCACACATACAGCATTCTTCATCACACACGCGTGGTCTGGCGCCACAGGGTTTCTCTGCATCCTCTGAGGGCAGAGGGGCCTTGGGTTGATAAGGAACCTTCTCAGGGTTCCACAGTGCCACATTCCCTGGCTCTCTTCCTTCCTCCTTGCCTGCTCCTCCTCTGCTCTTCACCTATTCCACAGCCCTCAGGGCTCAGCCAAAACCCTGCCCACCCTCGGTCTTTGGAGACTACAAAGTCCCAGATGGCTCTGCAGCTCCCTCCAATCCTGTCCTCTGCTCCACCCCATAACCCAGCCACTGGGCAGTTGCCATCTCCTCCAGAGTGCTCCAAGGGCATTCAGTCGCTGCGTGCAAAACCGACCTCCCCCGAAGGCCCACTCCCTCCCCTTCCCAAGAAGGGCCTGTCCAATCTCCAGCCATCCCATGCCCAGCACAGCCCCATCACCTTGACGTTCCTGTGTTGAAGATGGGCAGGAGGCCTGATGTGTGACCTATGATTCTAGCTGCTAGGGAAGCGAGATCAGGAGGATTGCAATTTGAGGCCAGCCTAAGCAAAAAATTCCCAAGACCCCATCTCCACCAATGGCTGAGCATGGCAGTACATGCCTGTCATCCCAGCTACTCAGCGAAGCACACATAGCCCAGGCATAAAGCAAAACCCTATCTCAAAAATAACCAACACACAAAGGGCTGACAGAGTGGTTCAAGAGGCAGAGCACCTACCTAGCAAGGGCAAGGCCCTGAGTTCAAACCCCAGTACCACCAAAAAAAGAAGGGCAGGAATGTGCTGTCCCAGGGAGGCAGGCACTGGAGATAGGACAGGAGTCAGAGTGTGATTTCCACCTGGGGTGGCCAGGGCAACCTTCCCGAGGGCAGGGCGTGGACTGGGTGACCACCGTCGCCCTGGGCGGACCTTGATCCCTCTGCTTGGCCTTAGCACATCACTGGAGGCGCTGAAGAGTCTGCTGTCCACCACAGGGCACTGGCGTGATTTTGCCCACCTGGAGCTGCAGGGCGCCTGGAAGCACTTCGCCTCCATCCACACTTATGCACAGGGCGTGGGCCTCCTTGCCAGGTACCAGTGGGTGAGGGTGAGGGGCAGGAGCTTGTTCCAGGCTTCGTTCATCTTGGGGCCCAGATCCTCTGGACCACTGACAGCCCCCCAGGGCTACCTGTAAGCAGCACCCCACAGAGTCTCATGTGTGCACACACCCCCTCAGGCACCACAAGACATTTGTCCCCCAACTCTGGTCACAGGCGCGTGCACTTGTAGTCTGTAGGTGCAGGCACCTGGCCCGTGACACCTCGGGAACAAGGGCTGTCTGTGCGTACTTCTCTGCCCCATGCGTAGCCCAGGCCTGGCTTAGAGTGAGCAGCCATGTGCAAAGGGGAGGGAGCATGCACACAGAGACATGTGCCCATCCAAGACCAAATGCTCCTGGCCCCCTAGCCTGGCCAACTGGGTGGTGGTGGGACGTGGGCTTTGGACAGTGACCACAAGGCCAAGCCCTGCCCCCAGGGCCATGGTGGAGAACCACTGCAAACAGATCAAGGCAGTACTCAGTCACCTGCTGCCCAGCCTGCAGAGCCAGCAGGAGCGAGAAAGGAAGGCCGCCATTCTCATCTTCACCGAGGTAGGATGGGGTGGGGGTGGAGAGCCCTCAAACAGCCTGAGCCCCCATCCTCCAGCCTCCTCAACCCCCAGCAGGACCCGACTGGACCTCACCCTGATGGAGGATGCCACTCGGGCAGCCCCCTCACACTCCTCACAGATGTGCACTCTGGGTTGCTGACTGCTATTCCTTGCCTCCCTGCCACCTCAGTGTGTGGCCTTAGGGAAACTATCTCTCACCCTCCTTCCCTGCAAAGATCCTCCAGAACTGGAGGACCCTGAGTGTACATCAGACAGATTTGGACTCAAATGTGGCCCTGACCTGCCCTAGTTCAACTCAGACCCCTCCCCAAGACCTGTGAAGATGTAAGGGAACCAGACAAGTGCTGGGGCGTGGCCAGCTTTGCCACCATGTGCTCTGGAAAGATGCAGGGCTTGGGAAGCAGGGGCATCTCCATAACAGATACTGGCTACCTGACGCCTTTAACCCAAGCCAGGGCCTCATGCCAGCTCCTACCCCATCCTCCATGGAGGCCCTGCCCCCAGGTGCCCCATGGGCTAGCCATGACATAAGTTGGCCCCAGCCTTGCTGAGTAACTTCAGTCAATGCCCTTCCCCCCTCTGGGCCTCAGTTTCCCTAGCTGTACACTGAAGGGTCGGGCCAGGTAGGTTTCAAATACTTGTTAACACAGGTGGGTATCCAGGGCATGCTGGTCAACTCTCCTCCCCAGAACCTCACCCAGACCCTGGCCCCAGAACCCCAATACAGACACAGCCTCCTGGGAGAGGGTGCCAGGTCTGAGCCACCTGCCACCCTCGGGTCTCCAGTTCCTCTACAGCCCTGCCCTGCTGGAGGTGCTTTCCAAACAGGCCGCCCTAACCATGCTGCTGCAAGGCCTCAGGGATGCCAGCCTTGAGGTCCGTGTGTTCAGCCTGCAGGGCCTTGGGAACATTCTCTTCCACCAGGAAAAGGTAAGGGCCTGAAGCCATGGTCATGGCACCAGGGGTGGGTAGAGCCCACTGGCTGGAATCCCAGCTCTGTTGCTTCTGGGAGGGAGGTCTGGAACAGCTAACTCCACCTCTGGGCCTCACTGTCCTCATCTGCACAAAGGGGCAGGTGTGGGAGGGTGACAGTACCTCTTCCCCAGGGACATGTCCCCTCCACACAGAGAAGAGATGACTTCCTACTGCAGACCTCAAGATGCCCACTAAGGAGCCAGCCAACTGGCACCCATACCTAGCTCAATGAGAACTTCCCCTGAGGATGTCATGAATGGGTCCCCCAACCCCATGTTTACTTATCCTGTCCCACCACCATAGCAACCCACATCCCATAATGGACAACTGGAGGCAGGAAGGCCTGCAATGCCGCATTCAGGAGATGTGATCTCCCCCTCATCTCCAGCCCCCAGCTCAGGCCATAGGGTTCCTGACATTGCCCTCCCTATAGGTTCACAGGGTACTGTGCAGTGGGCACGAGCCAAGGCCCTGAACCACCCTTACTCCAGCACTCTGGCCAGCAAGGTTTTCAGCTCTCAGCCCTCCACATCCATATTTGTAAAATGGGAGTGGAGATAGGACCTGTCGCATATAGTAGGCAGGTCTTGAGGGTCTGCAGAGACCAGTGCTAGCTATTGGCCAAGCCTCAAGTCTTTTGACATCACAAGCAGCAGTAGTGACATCCTTTTATAGCCAGCACCTCACATGGTCCTGCCAGTGTCTGATCCCATAAGATAAAAATGCTGAGCTAGACAAAAGTGTTCTCACTGATTGGAAAATGGGAGACCTTCGCTTCCACCCATCCACCTCAGGAGAACACAGGTGTCCAACCCCCATTCCTGTTGCTTTTGGGGTAGTCTGTTATGAACATAGGATTTTCAAGGTTTACAGAAGAAAGTGTGACCATGGGAAGGCCACAGAAGGGACAGTTTCCAAAGAGATTCCAAAGCCATTTGACCATCAGCCTAGTTCACTCCAACTTGTTCAATTCATAGGTCTCCATGTGGTTAAGATGAGACTTCCATTAGGATCTCTATGGTAATCAAAGGCCTTTGCACTGCACATGAGACACAGTAGATGCCTCATAATGTGGGGTAGAAACTAGATAGCACTTGCTCATTAACTCTCCACCCACCTACAAATCCATCCATCCATCCTCCCACCCACCCACCCACCCATCCATCCACCCATCCACCCACTCACCCATCCATCCATTTACCCATCTAATCACCCATCCAACAATCCACTCATCCACCCACCCATCCATCCATCCTTCCATCCATCCACCCACCCACCCACCCACTCATTCATCCATCCATTCATCCGCTCATCCATTCATCCACCCATCCATCCATCCATCCACCCATCTAACCACCCATCCAACAATCCACTTATCCATCCACCCATCCATCCATCAACCCATTTATCTAATCATCCACCCATCCATCCAACCACCCATCTACCCACCCATCCAACCATCTATTCATCCACTCATCCATCCATACACCCATCCATCCAACCATCCACTCATCCATTCACTAATCCATCCATTTTTTTTCTTGGGTCCTTCATCTGACTCATTCTTTCATTATTTCATTTGTTCATTCTTTTTATTTATTCACTCACTCAATCAGTTACGTATTTGTTCCCTCCTTCATTCATTTTTTAGCAGACAGTTATCTCTGCATCATCTCTGGCTGTTCTCCCAGTGGGTGATCAGTAGGAAGTCTCCATGTGCCTCCTCTGTTTGCTACACTGAGTAGGGCTCTATAGGGAATGGAGGAGGCAGACAAGCGTCCAACTAGACCAGAAGAGCTGGATCTGAGGAAGGGGAGATAGTTCCCTGCCCAGCTCCAAGTGGAGTTTAGGCCAGAGAGAAGGGACAGACCCATGAGCACTCCAGGTAGGGAAACCTTCTGATGTGGGGACAGGACAGGCCCAGGCAGGATGGAGCAGGCCTCTAGCTGAGCAGACACACACCACGCTGTGCCTTCCAGCCTCTCTTCTGGCCGTTCCTATCAGAACTCCATTCTGCCTGTCCTGTCCATGGCTGGACTCTGGTTTTGAAAATATTAAATTTATCTCGCTAATTGAGTCATTCAACAACAGTAAACACTTCCTGGGGACATAAGGGTGCAGCCAATGTGTGAAGACCAAACAAAACTTAGAAAATCTACAATGTTTGCTTAAAATATGTTTAAAAGTTCCAAGAAATTAGCTGGACACTGGTGGCTCATGCCTGTAATTCTAGCTACTTAGGAGGCTGAGATCAGGAGGATCATGGTTTGAAGCCAGCCCAAGCAAACAGTTCATGAGTCCTCCTCTCTAAACTAAACAGAGCAAAATGGACTGGAGGTGTGACTCAAGTGATAGAGTGCCTGCTTTGCAAGTGAGAAACCTTGGGTTCAAATTCCAGTCACATACACACACACAAAAAGTTGCAAAAAATCACCCTGGTTTGCACACAAGTCACTGATAAGGGGCCCAACAGCAGGAAGATCCACATTGCTTTTTGACAATTCATCTAGAGAACTCAGGAGTGCACTGCCAATGACTGGAGCAGACAGAGTTGGCCGAAAATGAATTGGAAAAAATTTGAAGAGAGTGTAAAAATAGAACATAGTGGTCCCTTATGTGAAAGGTCTGGAGTGCCCACATGGTACACATAAAACCCTGGTTATGGGAGAAACCAGTAGTTTCACTATGTAACACTTGACCGGCCATTTCCTGATCTGGCTCTAGACCCTATGTAACCCAAGGGGAGCTAGAAATGGGGAGCAAGGCAGGGTGGGATCAGGAAGGGAAGGGTGGCCCCAGGACTTGGAAGAGGAGGGAGCTGGGACCTCTGTGCTTCCACTTCTCTCCTCTTGCACAATGGGGGCCCCAGGAGGCCCTCAGAGGGGAAAGCCTTAGTCCAAGGCCATGAGACTTCTGGTGGGCAGAGCCATACAGGATGCAGCTCTGAGTCTCCTGCAGCCTTCTGGGAAAGTGGAGGACAAGGGTGGGGCAGGGCAGGCATCCTGAGGTAAAGGCGGAGTCTCATGGCTTCTACCCACTGGTCCCCCATACCCACAGGGAAGCCTGCTTCGGGGGCAGCTGCCATCCTTTCTTAGTGGCTTCTTCCAGAACAGTGAGCCTGTAGTCGTGGGCATCATGGGTACCGTATCCAAAGTGCTACATCGCCTGGGCATGCAGGGGGCAGGTGCCCAGGCCCTCAGTGTTGCCATCAATGCCCGCTCCTTCTTCGATGATGTGAGCTCAGGGGAGGGCAGGGCTGGGGGCTTCCTGCTCAGACTCTCCCTATTCCTCCCTGCACCCCTGGGATCCCACTGCTCTCTCACTCGGCCCAGAGGAATGGCAGGTCCCCAGTCTGCAGGTGGGTGGGGCCCACAGGGCACCTGCCAGGTGGCACTCAGCCTCCTCCAGGTGGCTGAACAGCATCCAATCCAATCTCCAGCCCCCTTCCATCTCTGATCCCACCACTGACGCTGTGAAACTCTTAACTCTATGACAAGTTACCATGTTCAGTGTTACTGCCTTCCCTTCACTGGGGACGAGAGATAAGCCCGCCCCCAGCTGAATTCATGACACGGGTTGTCAGGATGCAATTGTGGGCGAGAGAATGACTTTATGTCGGTGAGGACATGACCTGGGTCCCTGTCTGAGGTGGGAGGCCTGGCCCTACCTTGGATCCCTGTCTGGGGGAAGGTGAGACCCTGCCCTGGGGTCCTGAGTCTGGCTGAAAAGACCCTGCTGAAGGAACCCAAGGGAGTAAGGGCCCAAGTTAAGGAATGCTGGGCCCTCTAAACCCCTCTAAGCCCCTGCCTCACAGGAGCACGACATGATTCGAGCAGCTGCCATGGCATTGTTCGGGGACCTGGTGGCCACAATGGTGGGCAGGGAGCTGAGCGGCCTCCGGACCCACGTGTACCAGAGCATGGTGCCTCTGCTCCTGCACCTGAAGGATCAGTGCCCAGCCGTTGCCACGGTCAGTGCCCACTGTTGGCGAGGAAGGCTGACGGGCCTTTACCTCAGCCTAGGATGGGGTGACAGGTGCCAATGGGGCCACCTGAGAGTCCAGACATCCTTGGGCAGCAGAGGGTCTGGCTACCCACATTGCTCTCCCAGACCTCTGCCTCCTCCCCACCTACATGCGTGCACACACACACATACATGCACGCACCTATATGCAAACACATGCACACAACACAGCGAGGATCTACTGTCTGTGTGGGCCAGACCCGTCCTGCTCTGCTCTGCGAGCTCTGTGTCCCAGTGCCTGATGGTGGGGCTCACTGAACTTGCTCCTCCCTGTGCTCAGCCAGCTCCAAAAGAGCTAAGTGAGAGCTACACACAGCCCAGCTCGGGTGTCCACTGGGGGAGGAGTGCAGATCCATGAGGGCAGGGGGTGACCCGTCCTGTGGCTGTCCCCACAGCAGGCCAAGTTCGCCTTCTACCGCTGTGCAGTGCTGCTCTGCTGGCAGCTGCGGCACACCCTGTTCTGCACACTGGCCTGGGAGCACGGCGTCAGCACCCGCCACTTCCTCTGGACCTGTCTGGTGAGGGGCTAGGGTGCAGGGCTAGGCGTGGGGGTCCAAGTTGGCTGTACCCTGTTTACTTCTCCTGAAGAGGTACAGGCTGGGATAGGAAGTCAGTGGTCCCTCCAAGGCCAGCCCGTCCCACCGCCCCAGACCAGGGCAGTGACGAGCGGGCTGTCCTATGGCCAGATGACCCACAGCCAGGAGGAGTTCAGCATCCACTTGGCACAGGCCCTTAGCTACCTGCACAGCCGCCACCACCGCATCAAGACCTGGGCAGCACTCTTCATAGGTGGGCAGCAAGCATCTCCTGGGAGACCCCCAGGCCTGCCCCTCACCCACCCTCACCACCCACCAGCAGGAAAGGAAAGGGGATGGGTGAGGAGCCCTGAAGCTGAGGAGTGCAGGGTAGATCTGGACCCCCAGAAGCAGGGTCCCTACCCACCAGCCAGCCATGCCCGTCTTTCACAGGGTACACCATCTGCTACCACCCCCAGGCCGTGTCCCAGATGGTGAATGATGTGGACATCAAGCTGCTGTTGTGCAGTGAGCAGCCCCTGCCCCAGGCCCTCCATGAGTCCACCACCTCCCGGCCCAGTGTAGCACACTAAGACCCATTCAGAGATGACAAGACTGACGCCCCAGAGAGCAGGGAACCCTCCAGCCCTTCCCCAGCCCAGTACACCTTCAGGACTGTGACCCAGGCCTTCTGAGCAGAGCCTCACCCCTGCCCCACCTCCACTCCCTCCCAGGAACCCAGCTATAGCACCTGGGGCATAGGGTTACAGCTTCAACAGAACAAGGGCCCCTGTGTGGGCGGGCCAACGAAGAAGGGGAAGCTCTTGACTATGGTGGGGGAGTGAGGTTGGGCGTGCAGCCACACATCCACCCCACCCAACTGGAATGTGGGGACTGCTCCCAGGCCAGGGTCACCTCTGACTTGTCCCTTCTCTCCTGAAGCATTTGAAGAACTCAAAAAAAACTCAGAGCCTGGCATCCAGGAATTTGCCACCAGACTACTCTCCTTCCTTGGGAAGGTACAAGCCAGACCTCAGAAGTGACTTCCAGCCTCTTCTCCACCTTCTCCTCCTCCTCCTCCTCCTCCTCTCTGTCCCACTCAGGACAGCCCTGCCCCACTGTCCATACAGTTTGGTTGCATAACATTTTTCCATTTGAAAGAAAAATCTAGATTCAACAAAGCATGGCACTTGTCAGCTCCCTGCCCACCATCCGTGGGCTCCTCTGCTGTGGCCAAACAAGGCCCCAGGAGACACTGGCAGGACTCAGGGATAGGATCAGTGGGGAGTGGGGTGGGGGGGTAAGAGACAAACTGGGAAGTCTGTGATAGGCCCTGCAAATGGCAGCCCCTCTGCTCCTAGCAATGAGGTCAACTCTGAGTAACCTCATGGTGCCCACAGCCTTCAGTCCGTCTCCAGCTTGGAGCTGGAGGGGCTGTGGGGGCTAATGGTTGGGAAGGGCTCTCCACCAGCCCCCCTGTCTGCAGCCCAGGGTCTCCACCCCCACCTCCACCCTTCTCAGTCCAGTCAGGGCTGGCCCAGGGAGCAGCTGACAGCTGAACCAGTCCAGCCAACCCTGGATGAGCTATTACCCCTGTGGCAAAGGCCTTGGCTCTTTGGGCCTATCTGTAAAATGGGTACTAAGGCCTTTCCTCCCAGATGCCATGGAGGGCTGACTGCAAGGAGGATCCCATCTGTCAGCCAGGCTCTCCCCCCTCTTAGCCTCAGTTTCCCCACATGTGAAGTGTGGTCTTTCACTTGTCTGTGTATCCAGAGCTCTCCTGGGGCTTCACCCACAGGTAGCCTCCCAAGACCCTATCAGACCAGCCAGCTCCCCACAGTGGGGACTAATGGTTGCACTGGCTGACCCCATCTGTCCCTCTACACTTGGCTCTATGCCCTCCACCTGAGCACCTCCCCTACCCCAGACCCAGCTGTGGGGTCCCTGCTGGACAGAAGACCCCCAACACCCCACCTTGCCCAGACGAATCCCCAGGCTTTCACCCTCTGCCACCCCTAGAGTGTGAACCTCTTAGGGCAGGGACTCGCTGCTCAGGACCAACAGAGGTCCCAAATCTGGGGTGATGGATTGAAAGAATACCATCACCTTCTGTAAATGTGCCACAGGTGTAGCTGAGTTCCCAGACACACCATTTGAGGAAAGGAGAAAATAGCCATCTGATAGAGCAGGGCCCCTCTCCACCCAGGAGCTCGGTGCCCAGGCTCTGTCCCATCTCTTCCATGTTTCTCTGGGAAGTAGAGCTGTTCAAAGGGCTTTTGGGGCAATTTTGCCTTCCTGTGTGTCCCCATTTGTCCTCTAGCCTCAGGTGCCTGCTACTGAGCCATCCTCTGCTTGGTCCCTGGCTGGGGAGGGTCCCGAGTCCAGCTTGGTGTGGGAGTAGTAGCCTGGGCACGGCAGCAGTCTCCCCTAGGGTCAAGTTTGCTGGTTGCCTATCGTCTCCCCTCCAGCATCCTGGACTGAGGGCATCAGGCCCAATTCTGTAGCTGCCTCTAGTTCCTCCTCCTCTCTGAGCAGACTTGTTTAGGAAAAGCCTGGGGCTGGAAGGGTCTAGACAAGCCCCTCAGGCTCTCTGAGTCTGTCACTCAACTGGAAATGGAGGAGAGATACTGGCCAGGCACTGGGGACAGGAAGGTTGTGAGGACTTCACACACAGTAGGTGTGTTTCATTACAGCACTCCCAGCAACAGCAGTTCAAGTCAGGCCCAGCGGAGCAGGCCTGAGGGCGGAAAGATGGGGCCTGTATTCCCCTTGGTGCCCCTGCCAGGCCCCTAGGAAAGGTGCAGCCTCCCCAGGCCACCCAGGGCCCCACTGCAAGTGTGAGCAGGACAGGTCCAGTTGGGTGGTGCTGTATTTGAGGACATGAGCTTCCAGCAAGGCGTCACTGTGCTGCCCAGGCATGAGGCCCACCCTCCTGGGAGAAAGGGTGATTTCTGGGGGGGCTCCATGGGCCTCTCTCAGGTGCCTGGGGACCCATTCCAGAGTGGGGTAGGGTAGGAGGACATAGGCATAGGGTTGGGCCCACAGCGGGAAAGGCCCAACTCGAGTGACAGATGCAGGTGGAGGTAGCTTGGGCTCTGTTCTGGGACTGTATCATTGACCAGGCAGGGAGTAGGAAGGGGGGTCATCCAAGGCCTGTGGGTTTCCACAGGCCATGTCAGTGCTTTGAGGCCCTAGGGTAACTGCATACACGTAGCCAGCCAGGCCATCACTGGGTCTGCCCTCTTCCCAGCTGGGCCTATCCTTGTCCCCTTTCCCCAACCCAGGGACAGGCTGGCTCCAGCTTGGGAAGCTGTGTACAGAAGCATGTGAATGGTGCAATTCGAATTTGAATTCCAGCCCCAGGCACTGCGCGCCTCCCCGTACCCTCACCCGCCTCCTCTCCCTCCAGACTGATGGACTGTGCTTTCACCCTGACCCGAGGACCACTGCGCCTGATGCACATCACACCACCCCCCACTGGGCTCCTTTGGGCTCAGGAAGTTAAAATGAGGACACCTGGTAGAGGTGGGAAGGGAGGTCACCCTGCCTGACACAGGGCCCTGAAGAAGTGACAAGTGCACTCCACCCTGTCCTGCAGATGGGCAACATTGGTGACCAACCTCACCTTCTAGTGTCCCATCCCCAAAATGAACTCAGCAACACAGTCCAAGACGCAGCTCCCCTCTGCTGTATCAGGGATACGGAGACCCAGGTCAGGGTGTGCAGGGCCTGGCATGGCCACCAAGGGGTCCCACGGGAGCACACAGGAGCCGAGAGCAAGGAAGGAGGAACCCAGGAGAAATGGGAGTGGGGAAAGCAGGGTCCCAGGATGGTGGCCTCCCAGGGGCCCATAACCATCTGGCCACCCCCGTCTGGCCCTTCCCCCACTACCCACACACAGTCACAGCTCCTGTTTTATTGCCTTCGAGTGTCTGGAGCATGACAGCTCCGAAATCCATTAACAAGGTGCCAGAACAAGTCGGGTGAGGGGCCGTGGAGGGCTGGGCCCAGTGGTTAAAAAAACATACCTGCCCCGTGATAAACAGGCCAGAGAAGAGACCTGCAGCAGGGGGCAGAGGGGTGCAGAGGGTGCTGGCAGGAGGTCCACGGACAGAGGGCAGACTAGTCTCAGAGACACAGTCATGGACACAGAGGGGCACACAAGGGTCAGACACAGTGAGACCGGGAAGAGACAAGAGTAAGGGCGCACGCGGCCATCGGACTCCTTGGACACAGGTGCGCTGAGGCACAGGAGAAAAGGCGGGTGGGAAGTGGCCAGGACAGGAGCCCTTGGCGGGCGGGGCCTGGCCAGGGTCCTGAGCTACATGATGCAGCATTTGGTCTTGTGAGTGTGCGGGTCTTTGAACCGCAGTCTCTGCTTAGGCCGGTACTTTTCCAGGTAGGTGAGCTGTTTACTGTTGATGGCTCCACGGCGCTTCCTGCAAAGACAGCGACAGGCAGAGGGGTCATCAGGCCTGGCTCAGCCACCACACCTGTACCAGGAAGCTCGAGGCCCGAGAGGCCAGTGTGGCCAGCAAAGCCCTTCTTGTCCTGACCCTTGCATCCTTGGGGAGAGGGACAAACAAGCAAAGCACGTTGGTGAGCCCAGCTAAGGGGAGGAAAAGCTGGGGTGAGGGAGGCCATGGTGAAGACCCAGCTCTCGCCCTAGGTGGCCAGCCCCTCCTCAGAACTGCACCAACGTGCATGGAGAAAAACCATGAGCGTGTATCCATGTGTGCGTGTGCTGGCACGTGCACAAGTGTTGGGGCGTGCCTGCCTTGTGGATGTCGCCTGTGTGACACCTGAGGGCCTTGAGAGCACGCACCCATATCCACGCAGGGCAGCAATGTGCAGAAGGCCATCTCAATGGCACAAGACCACCCCCAGTATGTGTGTCACAGGCTGTGGGAACTGCAGTGTCAGCCGCTGCTGCCCCGCCCACCCTAGCAGGCATATGGGAGCCCTTCCCATGGAGGCCACCATGAGATAAGGAGGGAGACACCAGGCTAGGCAGCTGGACCCTGGGGCTGAAATGGCAGACAGGACCATGGGGAAGGTCTCATGGCAGCTCAAAAAACATGTCAGCATCCCCAAGGGTGGCAGAGGCACTTGGGGAAGCTTTCGAGTTGTTTCCCACTAAGAGGCAGGACCAGGTATCCTAGCGTCCCTGAGCAGCGAGGGGTCACTGGGGCATTAAGGAGATGGCGTCTGCAGAGGATAGGAAGGATACCCTGGACAGCAGGTGAACCAGCACAGCTGCATGGCATCATTACTGCTGCGGCCCTGGCTCCTGACTATCCAGAGACGCTTCCAGAACTTACCCAGCCTGGCTGGCAACCCAGAGAGCCTCGGGCCAAGAGAACCACAGGAGCAAAAGCCACAGAGCACCAGGGAGGTGTGGGGGAGAAGAGGCCACAGCAACGCTGTCCCCCGCCCGCCCACAGTGCCTCAGCCAGCCAGCAGCCAAGACCCCTAACCCCCGCCATGTCCACTCACTGCCGGATGAACTGGATGGCGTCTTCATACTTCATCCCACTCTCAATGAGGGCCAGTGCCACGAGAACCGGAGCCCTGTGGACAAACAGCTGGGCTGAGTCACCTGAGTCCCGGCACCTGTCGCTCCCCAAGAGACCACCTGCTGAAGATGTAGGGCAACCCCCATTCCCTAAGCTCCCCCACGGAGCACACAGACTCTGAGACCAGCCCAACTGCCTGGGTCCAAATCCTGGCTCCCTGCTGTTCAGTTTCAGCTGGTTGGAACAACCTCTCTGTGGCTCAGGCTCCGTGTGGGTAAACTGTCGGTGGGAGGGTTAAACAGTGCACAGGCAAAATGCTTAGCTCAGGTCTGGCCTCGTAAGAGATTAGATTGCAGGGACTATCGACCCAGCCCAGCTGGTGCTCTCTGCAATGAGGGATTCCAAGGCCCTTCTAATTTCCCTCCAGTCCAAGTGTTGTTCTTCCTCAGAGAGGGCAGAGGGGGTAGGGGGGCAGCCTGGCTCAGAGGGGGGTCTCTGTGTTGGGGGAGTGCAGGGACAGTCTCACCCCAGCAGGAGGGAATCAGGTCAGACTCTGGAAGGACTTTCTCCCAACCAGGCTATGGAAGGACCTGCCTAGGAACCCTGGCACCTGGGGCACTGACCCTCAGGGAAGCTCCCATGGACATGACCCACACTGGAAGGCAAGAAAAAGTGCAGAAGGCCAAGCTCAAGCTCAGCTCCCAGCAGCAGTGCCCAATGCCTCAAGCCCTGCCCGCTGCTCACCGTCCCAGGCCCGCCACACAGTGCACTGCAACACAGCTGCCCGGGTCATCGCAGAACTTAGCCTTCAGCAGACTCAGCCAGTCCTCCACTACCTTGCCTGGTGGGGGTGCCCCATCGTCAAAGGGCCAGTCCTGTGGAGGGAAGCAGCTGAGAACCTGCACAGGAGGCTGCTGACCCACAGGCACAGAGAGGACAGGTACTCTGTCAGAGGAGAGGATGAGGAGCCCACCAGGGTAGGGCATCAGCCCCTCAGGGGACACGGGACACCCCAGGAGGTCCAGGCCCTTCCTTGCTTCCCGCCCACTAATCCACCCACCCTTTCTGAGTAGAGCCTCCTGGAAGCCCAGGGGCCCACCATGTTGGTCCTTGTGTGGTTCTGGGGTCACTGTCCATCCCGCCCATGCACTAGTGGCAGCCTGAATGGGTCTGTGTCGGCAGGCCCAAGGGGTCTTGCTACTGCAGTAACACACAAAAGTGCTGCCATGGGCCTGCCTGTGTCCCAGCCCCTAGTGCAGCTACACAGCCCTGATGCCAGAAGGAATGAAGAAAAGCAAAGTCCACATTTCTGGGAGCTGGGCTCTATAAACACCAGCAACACCCAGGAACTCCCCAGGGGTTCATTTGGTTTCAGAATATTAGCTTTGTTCCCCACCATCCTCCCCTCCCCCAGTGCCCTGGGGAGATGAGGCCAGTCTGCACAGGGAAAGGCTTAGCCCAGGGCACAGTGTAGTGAGGACTGAGATGCTGACATCTAGTGGGGATGAACGTGTGTATGTCCAGAAGCAATGGGTACCAGGGTGAAGCCACATGGGTCCACCAGGGCTGACAGAAGGCATCCTTGGGATCATCTTACAACTCCTTCCGGTCTGCATGGCTGCCCTGAGTCTAAACACCAATCCCTCCTACTGTAGGGAAGAAAGGGAAAGGAAAGGAGGGAGCTGAGGTGCCCTGTGCTAAGAGGTTCTTGGGCACCTGTACCTTAGTATTCTTCCAAGCACCCATACCAAGTGAGGACCCTGAGGCTGGGTGTGTACTGCGGGGTCCCACGGCTGAGCGAGGGTAAGGACTCAGTGCAGGCCTATCTGACCCCAAACTGCCAGACAGTAGGCGATTACTACAAGGGGACCTTGCCAAGGTGTAGTTCAAGTGTAGAGGGAGCTGTACTGGTGCCAAGGACAAGATGCCAAGGCCTCAGCACAGCTAGTTGGGGCCTGCTGCTCAGGCCCTGCCCACCTGTGCCTCCAGCCTGGTGTGGGAAGCCCTGAGCTAGGGAGCTCCAGGCACTGTGGCCTACCCCACAGAACTGCCCCATCCTCCTCCAAACTGGGTCCACAGGGCCATGGGAGGCAAAGAAACAGCCCAAGGATCCCTCCCCACCACCTCCATAGGGACTCACTGCTGCCCAGCGACAGGGCCCTAGACAGCCAGCAGGGAGAGGCTGAGATGAGGCCTCTGGGACAGACCAGGCATGGAGGAGCCAAGCTGTCCTGTGCTAGCTCAGGGGACCTGGACAGGCACCCACTAATCCTCATACCCTAGCTGCACAATGGAGACTCAACAGGGCTATTAGGGCTCAACTGCAGCCCCCAGGGGCAAGTGGACCTGGCAGGTGAGAGCACTGTGTGAGTGCCATTCCCAGGGGACTCTCCCGCCTCTGGCCACGTGGCCTCAGAGTGCCTAACCCCAAGCCTCAGTTTCCCCTAGAGGGAACCACACAGGGACTGCTACAGGCTGCTACAATTCTGAGATTTGGTGGCTACTGGTAGGAACTGCCAGCTCCACCACACAGGAGCACCCAGCTCTTGCAAGCCCAGAAGCCAATGGACCATGTGTGTGTAACCCCTACCTCATGGCCAGATCTGGAAAACAGGGCATGGAAGGGGAAACTTGCTCAAGGGCACATGGCCCAATACCTGGTCTCCTCCCAAGTGCCCACCCACCTACAGCCCAGGCACAAATAGCCTGGGCAAACACCATCAGATCGCCCCGGGTGACAGATAGCCCTAACCCTACCGCCCAGACCCTCCCCCGTGGCAGCCACCACAGCCCTGGAGCCACGCAGCCCTCACCACAACAGTGATGCCATCCTTCTCCAGTGGGGCCTTGTCATAGGTCACTTCACACACACGCACCACAGTGGTGGCTCCATACTTCTTCAGGTCCTGGCAGGGTGGGAAGAGGAAGAGGGCTGGGCAGGGGCTACAGCGTTCAGAACCCAGAACCCCTGGACCAGCACTCCCAGGGCATGGCCAAGTGCCCCTCAGGCCCCTAGCGCAATGACTGTGTCCTCTCAGGTTCCTGGGCAAGGGTGTGTACCTTAACCAGACAGGGGAGTTGCACGAACCAGTTATAGTGGAGTGTGACTGGTAAGGTGGCCTTTCCTGATACTTCTGGGGAGCCTTCCCTGTCCCGTCTTGGGGGGAAAGGCACCCTATGTAGGCTCACCTGTTCCTTCCCTCCTCAGGACCCTGGGTCTCAGCAGCAAGGCCCCACTTTCCAGAGACTACTGGGTCCCCATCAGGGACCGAATGCCACCCACAAGTGGGTGCTGCATTTACGTAGCCTTCCTGGCCTGGGTTCCTTCAGAGTCCCTGAGAGGCAAGCCATAGCAGGCAGGGCAGTACCACTTCGGAGGGGTCAGTGGGAGTCAGGCCCAGCACACCAGTGGGGAAGCCCCACACTACCAGCAAAAAGGTCACCCAGCTCACAGCCAAATACGGGGTATTTTTATCCAGGGGCCTCTAGCAGGGCCAGCTCCCAGCTCACCTGCTTCTAGACTGTATTTTAGGACTGGTGAGGAATCTCTGGCCTTACTGGTCATGTGACTGGGGATATCAGACACAGTAACACCAGGACCTAACTATTCTGAGAAAACTGGGAATAGGACGAGGGTGCCAGATTCTAAGGCCAAGAGACACCTTAGAGTCCCTCGGTGCCTTCAGAGGAGGAAGCTGCCACCTAGATGAGGAATGACTGCTGACCCTGGATATATGCTGAGCCCTCATCCTGTTCACACAGAACCCCGATCCTGACCACAATCTTAAGGTCTGGTCAAAAACTGAGCTATGATCCTGACTATGCTCTGAGCCCTGATGGCTCACATACTGAATTCTGACACTGGTCACATTGAGCCTTGACACTGGTAACACACTAAGCCCTGAGAACTATCACACTCTGAGCCCTGATCCTGCTCACACTGATCCCTGACCTTAGTCACACTCTAAGCCCTCATCCTGATCCTGATCATACACTGAACTTTTTTTTTCCTTGTTGGTGCTACTGGGGTTTGAACTCAAGGCTTCACACTTGTGAGCAAGCAATCTACCACTTAAGCCTCACCCCCAGCCCAATACACTGAACTTGATCCTGGTCACAATCAAAACCCTTTCCATCCTTGTCACATACTAAACCCTGACTCTGTCACAGGATAAACCCTCATCTTGATCACACACTGAACCCCCATTCTGGTCATAAACCTAGCCCAGACCCTGGTCACACACAGAGCTATGTTCACCAGTCCTCCAGGCCCTGCCATCTCAAGGCTCTCAGCTATGAGAGGCAGCAGCCATGCCCTATACAGCACCTAGCTCCATGTCCAGGGTCCAGGATTCCTGACAGCAGGGTTCTCCCTATTATGATGACAAGCCCATGGCGCTTATGCAGCAGAGGGAAGGACTGAGAGACTATGGCCTGCAGAAAGCCCTGCATAGTCAGTCACAGGCTCCATGGAGGACAAACAGCACACAGTCTTATCCCACACAGTCACAGGCTCCAGTCAGCCCTGTAAACAGCTGTAGGCTCTGCAGACAGCCTTAGGTCTACAAACAGCAAGGAGTCCTCTACAAACAGTCCTCTACATGGTCATACTGACAGCTCTAGACACTGCTCCCAGCACAGGCTCTGCAAACACATCTGGTCACATCTGTGGGGTTGTGGACAGCAAGCATCTCTGCGTGCCACCTCTCCAGGCTGCAGTGTTCATTGCTTCCATCTGCCAGCTGTAACTCTTGCCCAGTCCCTCCTCATACTGACATCTGAGCCTGGAAGCCCTGTGCAGCCTGTTCTGGTGGAGCCTGAAGGCTTCTTCGAGCCTAAAGGCTTCTTCAAGCCTGGGCTGGCCCCCCATTTGCCTGTCTCCAGGCCGTGTCCACAGTAAGCAGCCACTTCTTACATGGGCCTCCTTCCTTTTCTGCCTCTGCGAAGTCCAAGGTAGGCCCAGGGCTCTCAACTGCTGCAGCCTAGGCAATACCCCATCCATCAAAATCCTCAGCTCTTTCACCTGCCTCAATTCACACAGCCTACTGTTTACACTGGCCCACCCTGTGGCCCCCCCCAGGAACCCAACTTGTTCACAACGTCCCTCATACCTGAGCCCCCCATGCGCCCCTCCAGGATCCTGCAACAGGATCCTGCAACAGCCTAAGCTTGGTGCAGGTGGGCATTGACACTACAAAGCCTGTCATGGCAGCTCTGGGCTGCTGTACCCTGGATTGCCTGGACGCCCCCCACTTACCTCGATGAAGGTGCTGAGGGTGGCATTGGTGGGGTTGTGCGTGATGAGGAAACGCATGTTCCTGTAGCTCACCTCCACAGGGGCAGGCCGGTTCATACGTGCCATGCCTCCTCCAGACGGGCCGAGGGTGGGCCAGCCAGGGGCTGCAGAGAGGCCAGGAATACAGATCCACACAAACCAAGTTGAACAAGACCCCCGCGCTTGTCCGAAGACAAAAGATTTTTTTACAACCTCGTCCACACACCCCGCACAAATATTGTGCAAATCCTTGGGAGTGGGAGAGGAAGCTGCCCAATGTTTGGATAATTAAAAAAGAAAACCACTCAAAAAAAAACAAAAAAGGAAAAGGAACAAACAGCTCCACAGTTAAATGAGCAATTCCAAACTCCTGTCTCTCAGAGCTGGGTAATTATAAGGGGGCAAAAAAAATAAAATAAAGAGCAACAACCAAAAAAAAAACTCAGCAAAGAAAACTTAAAAACCCAAAGTGAACAGAGCCGCCGGGCAGTGTCCAGTGCAGTGCTGTCACTGGGGATGCCCTCTCGGCATCGGTGGACAGTGCACAGTCCCTTTTGCTCAAAGCTGGGGAGCGTTTCCTCACCCCAAGTTCCTGAGGACGAAAGGAAAAATAAACTGAACCAACTCTGGCAGCCCTGGGGCAGGGGTCACAGGCAGCAGCTGTGGCAGGTAGACGGCCTCTGATGTGCGAAGCCTCTGTCACGTTACCCCATCAGGGTAGGGCAAGTCCTGGAGCAGGGCAGGGGGCTCAGACAGCAGAGCTGGCCCCGGGCCTGGCAGCAGCAGCCATCGGCAGGCAAGGGCAATGGTGAGGGCCGGAGGGGCACAGGCCTCCTCAGCAGCAGGCACGGCAGAGATGTTGGGAGCGGCAGTGCTCAGAGCTTCCCCACCAGGGCCTCTCCATCAGTCGCAGGCTGGTCCTCAGCAGGCACTGTCTGGGGGGAGGGGAGAAGGAAATGGGTGGCCCTCCCTGGGCCGCAGTTCCCCCACGTGAGAACACAAGGAAGGCAGTTCCTTCCAGGACTACCCCTGGCCCTGGGGTGATAGAGCAGCTACACACGGCCACCAGGATGGGGTGAAGAGGGACGCAGGAGAAGGATGGGAGAGTCACACAACCAGGAGCACGCCGAACTTCAAGTAGATGACTGACAGGACCATCCTGTGGCAACAGAGGCCAGTACCCTCTGAGCCTGGTCCCCACCCCGCAAGCCCAACCCGGGGACAGTGACCCTCCTCCTCTTGGGACTCCTGGCCACTGCGGAATATCCAAGCCCAGGTCAGATGATCTGGGGCAGCCCACCTCAGGGAAAGGTGCCCAGGACAGCAGGTCTGCCAGGGTGCAATAGATGGTGGGGAGCATCCCACTCACAGCCACAAACAGCCTTAACTGACTCGGGCTTTCCACAGTCTCTCGCCCTTGCTGGTCTCTGTCCCCAGTCATCACTCACTGGAGCTGGCCAGGCACGGGAGGTAAACAAGTCACAAGCTCCTTCAGGAGCTCTGAGGTGGGTGGAACACAGGCCAAAGGGCCAGCTGCAGGGTGCATGCCAAGGTTGTGACAACAAGGGTGGCCAAGAGTAGGGTCACACTGTGACAGGGCCCTAGGGAAGGACATTGCTAGGGATACAGTCAGCCATGAGCACCTCCACCCTGATCTCTGTCTCTGTCTCTCTGTCTCTGTCTCTCTGTACCTAACAACTCCAAAGATCCCAGGCAGGGAGGTCCTAAGGGCACTCAGGCCCCACCCACCCCATGGAGGGACTGGGGGACCTTGGCATGTCACTAGCCTCTCTGGGCCTGGGCACCCATGTACAATTAGGGGCCAAATGAGATGTCTCCAGCAGAGTCTCTCTGACTGGCAGACCCTCCATCACTGGACTAAGCCCACACCCTACTGGGCCACTCCATTCTGACCACAGTCTCTGTCACTCTGTCCAAGGAAGGGCCCTCACAAGCCCTTCACCTGGCTGAGTCTTCCACCCATCCACCAGCCCACCACCTCTTACCTTTGCCCCTGCCCCAGCACCTCGTTTTCCAGCCACCCACCAGACAAGCCAAGCCCCTGGAGCCTCAGCCTGGCTGCAGACAGGGCCCAATCTAAGATCCTGGACTCTGGCTTCCAGCTGTGGGCACCGGCCCCACTTTCCACGGCTCCAGCTGTGCAGGATGGTGGAGGCTCCTCACTCCCTGCCCTCCACACGCAGGCAACAGCCCAGTGCTCTGACTCAAGGTAGGTATCACAGCTCACAGCCCTCAGCGAGGTCCTCAGAGGGCTAACGTGCCAGGGAGTAGGGGATGACCCCAGCGGGGGGAAAAAGGCAGAGACACAATTGTGTTTCTGGTTCAGCCAGTCAGGTCCGTAATCCACACCACTGCAGAGCAAGCATCCACCCTGGTGCAGGTGAGGAAAGCCACCAGCTCCTACAGCACACAAACACCTGGAGCCCCCTGGGAGGGGATGTCCCGTGTGTGCACGCACACCTTGTGTTTACAGAGGGAAGGAGGCAAAAAGGCCCAAGGAAGCTATAGAATTGCAGGGAGCTCCTAAGAAGCTGACCTCCCATCAGCCACAGCAGCTGGGCACCTGAGGAGATCCCAAGGGTGACAGCAATATGGCCTGACTATGCTGCCCAGTATTGCTGGACAGATCCTCAAGGCTGAATCCCTAGGCAGAGAGGGACCTAAGTCACCCCACACCCACACTACTTCCCTGAGGCCCAAAGTTGTCCCATGTGTGCAGGGATCAGGAGTTAGATTGACCTAGGCCAGAGATCTGGAGTCAGAGCCCACGCTGGCATAGGTCAGATATACAAGTCTAGGTTGGACCAGGCTGGGCTGGTGACCTGCCACATTCCCACTTGCCTCCACAGTCTGGGACCCATGCCCAAATACTGCAAAGCAGCACGGAGACCTGCCTGCCTCAGGCACCCCCGTGAGACCCACCACACCTGTGGCTGCCCCTAAAAGGAATCCCTCCCTGGCTACCATCTGAGAAGGCCCAGACAGGCTGCTGGCCATCAGAGCCCTGCACCTATCCCCAGGAAGGGCTGACCCAGGGCCTGAGGTCCCACATGGTCAACCACAGCCCACTTGGCCATGACCCAATCCCAGTACTAACTCCCCGATGGACAAGTGAGCGAGCTCTGCTTGTGGCTAAAGCCTCAGGCTCCTAGCCTATGAAACAGGCACAGCTCACCCCAGTCCAGTTAGCTTGGTCGCGTGCAGCCCTGTTTCAGCCTCTTTGGCCAAGCCACCACACCCACCACGCTCATCACCCAAAGCACCCAGGCCCCTCCTTCCCTCAGGCCCGCCCCTTCCCTTCCCGGATCTGGTCGGCCTCCTCTGGCTGGTGCCGGCGCCCAGAGTCCTTCGTTATCTTTTCTAAACCCTGTAAGGAGGCCCATCTCTCTGCCAGATGAGGAAACAGGCTAGGGAGAGGTGGGAGGGCATTCCCCGGGCCCTGGCCAGACATTCAGCTACGTGGGGTTTTGCAACCTCAAGTCTAGGAATACTGAACCCCATGGCAAAGAGGAGACTAGGGCTCAGGGAGGCTGCTGCGTCCATCGGCTGCAGAGGTCCCCTCCCTACTTGTGACCCCTGGGGTGGGGGGGATGAGGATAGCCTAAGGCTCAGTGAGGTCCCCAGGACAGGTAAGGGTGCGTGGTGGGCAGGCTGAGATCAGTCGGCTGCGTAGCCCCGGGGTCGGTGGAGGGGGTCGTGGGGGGTGGTGAGGGGCGCGCCCGCTCGGGCGTTAGCAAGGCTTCCCACCGGGCCCGCCGGGGCACCACCTCCCCCAGGCGGGGCTGGATCGCTAGTCCCCGGGTCGGGCCGGGAGACCAGGTCCCGCCGCCCGCTGCACCCCGCCACGCCGCGCCCCACCTCCCGGCTCACCCGCGCCCGCAGGCGTGCCGCCGCCTCCATGCGCCGGGCCGGGCCGGGCCGGGCGCGCTGCTGGGCCGAGACCCGCGCGGGGCGCGCCCTCCGCAGCGGCGCTGCTCGCGGGCGGATGCCCGGCGCCCGCGGCCCGGCTATTTATAGCGCCCGGCATCACGTGGGGGGCGGTGACCGGCGGGCGACCCGACTCGCGGCAGCTCCCGCACCTGCCGCCTAAAGATAGCGCGCCCAGTCCGCGGGCAAACAAAGGGGCGGCCACCGGAGGAAGAGGAAACCCGGCGGGCGGGCGGGCGCAGGAAAGGAGCGGCCAGGGCCGGGAGGGCTCCGATCCAGGCGCCCCCCTCCCTGGAACCTGCTGGGGCTCCCCACAGCTTGTGAGGCGGTCAGGCAGGAAGGATTCCCGTGGCCGAAAGGAGGGGGCAGCAGGAGTCTGTGCAGAAGGGCCACAGGGGCTAGCGGGGAGCACAGCAGGGGCAAAGGCTGGAGGGGTCCCCTGCCCAGCTCTCCAGCCTCATAGCCCAGGACTCCTCCACTGAGCCTCCACTGTGTGCCACACACTGTTGTTCCCTCACTTAATTCTCACAACACTCCCGCTGGCTGTCTTCTCATCCCACCCCCACCACCAGCAGCTTATAGCTGAGGAAACTGAGGCACTGAGCCTAGGAGCAGCCCAGGGTCACTCAAGCAGGCAGGATGCAGGCAGGATCCAGGCGGGGAGCTGTCTCCACATTCAACTCAACACCAAGGCACCACGCACACGCCCCTTCCTGCACAAACCCTCCAGGACTCCAAGCAAGATCATCCCCTGCTTTTCCAGCTGCCCCCCAACAGGCCCCCAGAAACACCAAGTGCAAGGCCCCTAAGTCCCAAGCATGTAGGCTGGCATCACCTCCATACCTGCCCTGGTCCTCAAGGCCCTCAGCAGGCTGGAGCAGGGCATGTGTTACCCTCAGCATATAGGGTCCCCAGAGGCCTATCCTTGCTGGGAACCCAGCTCAGAGCCTGGCTCCCAGACAGACGCCTGGCCCCTGCAATCAGAGGTCAGCCAGGGAGGGGAAGGGCAGGGGAAGACTGGCCAGGGGCCAGCAGAGAGCACGTTCCCCTTAGACGCTCCCCATACCCCCAGAGAGCATCTTCATTAGCAGGCCTGGCCCAGCAATGCCTGCCACCCTCCCCTCCTGCCACCCCTCCCAGGATCCCTACCATACCTCACCCCTACCAAGCCAGGCAGCTAGGAACCCTAACAGCAGGAGCACCCTAGCAATGAAGCACCAAACCCTGGGTTCTGGCTCCCACTCCTCTTCCAGCAGCAGCTCCCTGAAGGCTCCAGGGAGTTGGGCACTCACCGTCCTGCTGGTCTTCCACCTTGATCGCTGGTGTATATTGCACCCTGCCGGCAAGGCACCAATGCTGGCCATGCTGCACTGATAAACACACCAGCTCAGAGAAGTTGAAAAATTTGCCCAAGTCACCCAGCCAGGAAGCAAAAGAACTACAGCAGGAGCTGGGACTTGCTGACCCCCACCCCTTAAGACCCTACTGCAGGTGCCCAGCCCAGCCCAGCCCAGCCCCTCAGAAGACAGAACCTGTGGCAGCTACCTGTGCCTCCCACCTCAGTTTCCTCGTCATAAGAGGGTCTCTTAGTGAAAGGTGCCATGGGGTATTGCATCCAGGACCCAGAGCCCACCCTGCTGCTGAGCCTGCAGGAGCCCCACACGCCTGTCCCCCACTCTGAACCCCTTGCCAGGGCCTCTGGCCAGACCAGTGGGAGCGGGGCGGGGGGGGGGCACCTGCTGCAGCTGGCAGGGCCCCAGGCCTTTCGGAGAAGTCTATTCCGGGCAGGAGCCATTCTTGCTACCCTCCAGGGCACCCCATCCCTAGGGGCCAGGAGGGGAGACCCAAGCAAGCACGGCCAATGCCGATCCCGGGGACGTTCCTGGGCCCCCATGGCCCTGCACCCCACAGTCCCAGAAATGCTGCCCCCTCACTGACTAGGCACCACTATCCCTTCCCCCACCCAGGCCATCCCCTCTCCCCTTGGCCACATGCCCTGTAGAGCAGTGAACGGTGTGTTCCAGCCCCAGGGAAGGCCTCCCTGACTGGAGGGCTGAGTCCCGGGTCCAACCACCTCCCACACAGGCCCTGGCACGAGGGCTCCTGCCTGTTTGTGGAAGGGACAAGTGACCCAGAGTTCTGGGCAGAGGTCCAGATGTGGGAAACATCCAGAACCCATCACGGGATCTCAGCCCTCGGAGTCTAAGGATCCTCAAAGGTCACCCTGTCACCCAATCCCCAGCTTGCACACCTCCAAGGAGGAGCTCTATGCATGGACAGCTCCCCAGGTATTGGTGCCCCCTGGGGGTGCTTCCTGGGCCCCTGTGGCTGGGAAGGGGACCATCAGGAGAGCCTGTGAGCAGCAGCCCCGGTGACAGGTGCTCTGCAGGTCAGAGTGGTCAAAGAAGGCTTCCTGGAGGAGGTAGGGGGAGGGGGCAGACATTTTCCTGATGCCCTGACTCCCTGTGCAACCTGGAGCTAGCAACGGCCCTGTCTGGGCCCATAGTTGCCTCTATAAATGGACACACTGCCAGGAAGGGAAGCACCTTCTGAAGCAGTACCAACTCCCAGCTGGTCACAGGGCACCTGGGCTGCAAACTGGAAACTGCTGTGGGGAGCTGACCTGGGTTTCATCAGCCAGGAGGCACCTGTTCTCCCCAACCAAGGAGCTCCAGGCCAGTGGCTGCAAAGACCCTCCTCAAAGCTGTCACTCACGCACACACCCTCACCACACACAGCCTTGACAGTGCCCTGTGGAGTGTGGTACTGGCCTGGCAATCCAAGTGGCCTGCTTCCCAAGGCCACCCTTGTCACCAACTACCAACACCGCCTGGGCAGACCACATCTCCACTGAAGACCAGAGGCTATAACTATCATTTCTGTGGGCAGCAGCAGGCAGGCCCTGGTGTAACCATGGGCAAGGCCACTGGGCTGCCATTGGGCCAGGTCTGGAGCATTGGAGCCAACAGCCACCCAGGTCTCCAATAGCCCCAGGTGGACTATAACCAAGCAGGGCACCCCACCCTTCCACTCACACCACCCCTCGCCCTCCCCAGGGTTCAGCCCTGGCTTGGGTGTTTTGAGCTCCCTGGAGCCTCCCTTACCCCCACCCAGACCTCAAGACCCCACAGAGAGAGAGGGGATCCAGGCACTCGTCCATGCATTCATTCCTCCACTCATCCAATTTGACAAAGGCATGCTGAGGGCCTCCCAGGGCCAGGCGCAGGGCTGAGCTTAATATTACAGGGGCCCCCCAGACTCCCATGGGCTGGACTTGGGAGTTACAATTATCAGGGTGCTCAGGAGGGGTGGGATACCCCATGCAGGTATCACTATGGAGTCAGAGGTCACTTCAGTTCTGCAGCCAAGTCCTTAAAGAGACCCTGCTCCAACATGTGCTTCAGTTTCCCAGGTTGCCACATGCAGGGTTATAAGGTGGTATTTTCCCAGTGGTGCCCCTCTCTGGGCTGCCTGGCTCACAGCTGAGACACCCCCAGGCTGAGGGACTAGTCCCAGAGCCTCTCCCACCCTGCAGCAGGGAGCCCCCCCCTCCCCTTCCCCTGCCCTCAGCCACCTCACACACTGCCCAGCGGGTACCTGCCGTGGGCGCCTTCCTCCCACCTTCTCTGTGCATTTCCCCCTCCCCCAGTGCCACCACATCCTCAGGGCTTCACTATCCGGTGATCGTAAGCAGGAAGTTACTCTGTACCTCAGCTTCCTCTTCTGTAAAACGGGGTAAGGACAGAAGTTTCCTCATGGAGTCATCAGAAATGAATGAATCCATCATGAAAGTCTCAGAGCAAACCTGGGCCCGACCTACTCACACCGCATAACTGGGTGTTATGCATACCCAGTGTGTAGCCTCACCTCCTCCCATCTCAGCCCGGGTCCAGAGAAGAATGGTCACCCAGGCTCAGACATCTTCCCAGGCCACCAAACCCTTGACCTCTGCCTCGCATGGGTCCAGGTCTCAGAAGGTTACTTGGCTCCTTCTTCCCAAGATCCCTGACGCCCCTGGGCAGCTCAGGATCCTGGCCCAAGAACAAACTGGATCACAGGTTTACCCTCAAAGGACACCAGCCCTGTCCCTACCATTGACGTGGAGAGTCTCAAGGGGTCCACAGGTACCCACAGGCCTCCCCACTCCACTGGTGATTCCAGTCCCCCACCCCTCTTCTCTGGTCCCCACTCCTACCCAGCCCGAAGAACACCTTCCCACCAAGGCAGCTGTCAAGAGAAATACATGGATGTCCTTGTCTTGAAGGAACTTAGTTCAGGATTGATGCGTGCATTTCTCACCTCCAGCCCCTACTGAAGCAGGGGCCAAGGGCCCATGTCACCTGCCAATCTACCCAGCAAGCCCCACCCACCCTGAGAGGCTTGGCTCAGGCTGCAGATAGAAGGGTAGCCTCCTCCCCACCACCACTCATACATCTCCCATGGCTCAGAAAGAATTTGGGCTTTCAGCCTGACCCACTGGCCCTCAGTGGGAGGGTAAAGGTGGAAGAGCTGTAAGATTCACCGCTCCAGCACCCTGTTCTTCCCCAGAATGCCTGGCATACCCCATATTCTTAAGACTAGGCCAGGGCCTCTGCATCCAGGATGTCCTCGGGTGTTCTCAGTGCCTGTCTCCCCCCACTGAGCACCTCTAGGCTCGAGGCCCCATGGTGGGCGTCGAGTATGGGTCAGGAATGAGTGAACACCCATAACCCACCCTTGGGGGTTAGTGAGGAACGCACAATAAGCAGGTAGGGCTTTGCAACAGAGGGAAACATGGAACCAGAGAGTCGCCAACAGGAGGGTAATCACAGAGGTCTTCCTGAGAAGATGGCCTTCAAGCAGAGACACTAGACTCACACCCCAAGGTGAGGACCATACCAGATTCTCTTGGAACTCCTGACAACAGCATGCACCAGTGTCTGCCCAGAAGCAGTTCACACAATACACCCGGCATCACCCCCCAACATACACACACATCCACTGAATACCAAAATCTGAGGACCCCATTTTACCCGAGGCCACACAAGTAGGTGGGGCAGAGCTGCCTGAGTCTAGCTTGTCTGGGTCCAAGTCCA